CCAAGGGGGTCAGGACGTGCCCCCAGCACTGCAGTCCACAGCCACCTTCCTTTGCAGGGAAATGAGTTATTTAATTCAGCCACTTCCCTTTGAAGTGCTTGAATACAATGCCACACACACGCTGGAAATGAAAAGTAGAAGTGTCACTCAACAGAGAAACACAATTTACAGTAATTATTCATGTCTGCAGAATACATATGAAAAAAAAACCCCAAGAGAAATTAAAAATCCCATAACTAGCCTCACTGGAGAACAGCTGGAGAGACCCCATACAACAACCAAGTATTTATACTGATCCTCACCTTTCTGTATCCCCAAGAAGATGGCAACTACAAGCCTGAAAATCAGTTTAGAGCCATGGAAAGTCCAAAAGGAGGATGAGAGGAAATGGAAATGTCAGCACAGCAGGACCTCACGCTTCCCATTACTGCTAGAAACCGAGCACAGAGGAAAACCCTGAACTTCAGTGCTCACCATCACTCCAGTGCTTGCTCTGTTTTCCACGGGGGAATCTCTACACATGCTCCCACTTATTGATTTATCACAGGGCAAGGTGAGGATGGACACTGGAAAAGCCTGACCTGGTTTGTGCAGGGGATGCAGCCACAGCCTGGCTTCACACCACGTCACACTGCTGGCACGGGGTGCTCCCCAAAGAGGCCACAGGAATTGATGGGGAAGATGTTTAACATGAAGCAAGAAGGGGGAGACCTCAACCAGTCAGTGAAATGAGATGAATCACATTAAAAATAGGTGTTTGATTTGTGTGCATGAATACACAGCTGCACCTGCACTCACATGAATCTCTGTTCATATATCACAAATAAATGCAATTTCACTGCAAATTTTTCATCCTTTTCCTTTGTAAAGCCACACAGAACTACAGGCAAGGTAAAGAAAAATGCCTATGTTAAGACAAAACTGAATTTAAAAACATTTTTACCCTCAGAATTTGTGGTATCATGGGAGACATCTCGGTAACCATAAATGTCAATTACAGGAACCAGCTTGAGGAGTGACCTTTGTGTTGAGCTTCCCAGTGAAAATAAATGTGATTAAAAAGCAAACAGCCCCCGTCCAACAAATCTTGTGTGGTTTTGTGTGGGACTGATCTGTGCACCTGTAAAATCCACCCTCACTCCCAGGCTGAGACTCAGGGAAATGGAATTGAGGAATTTACCCTGGCACTGTGACTTAACTTGCACAAAGAGAATTCAAGCTGCTTTTCAAGAAGTGAAAATTAGTGGCCACTGAAATTCTGGTTTTTTTCCACTGTCCAGGAACTTGGCACCTCTGAATTTCTCCTTTCAGGGAAATTTACATCACAAAGCCCCGAGGAGCTGCTCTGCGTGTGAGCAGAGGGACAGCACCTGGGGGAGATTAATCCCTGACTTGTCCCAGGTGGTGAAAACCTGGCCCCTGTGGATCCTGCCAATTCCTGGTCTGCCATGGAAAAGATGGATGGGTCACCTTTGTAACAGAAATATTGATCTGAATCAAGTCTGAGTGGGACCTTTGGTTGTGGAGGCACTGGGAGGATAAAGAGGTGATAAATAAACCAGGTCATCCCAACCTCACCTTCTCCACATGCAGCTCAGGGCACGGGCTGGGGAAAGCAAAAGACTCCTTGAAGCCATTTGGGGATGAATTCCCACAGGAATGGGGCAGACGGAAGGGACAGGAGATCCTACCACTGTAAAGTCAAATAAGTTTCTTTTCTGAATAGTTTCATAATGAGCTCTTCTGCTTTAGCCCAGCTGTGTCCCAACAATGTGACAAGGAATTCCCAAGGCATGGGGATGCTCTGACTCCCAACTGCACTGAAAAGGAGAGAGCAAACCATGAGAAACAACAACATTCCTGGGATTGTCCACTGCCTGTGAGGAATTAGCTGCTGGCTTTACTCAAGTGCGTTTTTACCCCAGTTTGAGGAGGGCCCTGATTCATTCTGGATTCTGCACAAGTCACAGCCTAGGAGCTGTCAGATTGTAAAAGGGTGACAATTCGGGTCTGAGAGCAGCTCTGAGAGCCTGATTTTCAATTCCCAGGCTCAGCTTGCGTATTTGTAAAACACACACACAGATGAGATTTGGAGTTTGTGCTGTGAGACCGATTTGGAAGTGCAGCTCTTGTTTGAGGAGTCTCACAGGGCTGAATTATAACACTTGCACGAGCACAGGAATTTGCTAAGGACGTGGGAAAACAAACATATTATCAGAAATACAATTTACAGGCATCCACCGAAAGGTCGATGGGAAAGCTCTTCCCATCCTTTAGGAAGCAAATGGAACAGAAAAGAGGAAAACTCACCCAGCATCCCAGCACAAGCAGCAGCAAAAGCAGCCTCTAAAGCAATTCTCAATTAAATACAAGACTTATAGAATTAGAGCTGTAATACATTATTGATTGACTATGGATATCTGACTGACTGCAGCCAAGAATCCTTCCCTGCCTGCTCCTCTTGAGCAGAGATTATAGGAACAAAACAAAGAGGGAATTGCAGGATGAGATCCAACAGTAAATCCTGAGACACTCCAGGAGCTGATTTTACAGCAAGGAAAAGTGTGTTTGTTTGATCCAAAGTGACACTGTGGTTTAAGGCAAAAAAAAAAAGAGAATATGTAATTGACCATAGGAGCCACTTTTTATGAGAAGGGCAATTTTTCTGCCTCTGTAACAACAGTGTTGTTTTACTGCTGTGTAAAGTCACTTCTGCTTGGAGCTTGCATCGTGTAGCAGGTACTTGAGGTGGAAAATATTACATAAAACTCCTCTGTTTTCTGAAGCACTTACTTAGAGATACCCAAGCCATCACTTTGGGCATGGACAGCACACAGGGATGGATGTTCTTAGTGCTGGTGTGTGTTTAGCTCCAACCTGCAGGGACGACCACAACAGCACACTAAAAGATTTCAGTTTTCTCATGAGTTCCCCTCCTAAACTGGCCTGAAAAAAAGGAAGTGTATACACAGCCTTCTACACAATGCAGCAGTTCCCAAAATTCTGCCGTGAGGACCAAAAACACCCAGGGAATGCATTCATTTTCTTAGACAAGCTTTTAAAATAATAGTTTATTTTTTTGAGTCAGTGGTATATTTAAAAACAATCTACTGTAAGAGTAAAAAGATTGTAGATAATAAAAAAACCCAAAGTGTGATGACAATAAAAAAACACTAGAATATAAAGTTAGTTTCCTTCCTCCCTCCCAAAACCCCATCCCATCAGTCTGATATTTCTCAGAGCTCAATATCTGGAGAAAACCCCACTTTTTGTTTTTTTCTTTACACTTTCAGCAATTAGGAAATTAAGAATACATAAAGCATTCTTCGCAGGCACATTAATCATTATGACGTGAAAAGCAGGCACCATAAAAATTAAAACATTCTAAAAACCATCATATATACAAACACTGTACAGAATGATGGCACAAGGACAAAGTGATTCCATTCAGTTCATCCTAATCCAACATGAAATATTACACAACAGAGAAAGGAAAAAGCTCTTCCCGTTCCTGTACTCAACGTCTAGGTTCAGAATGAGCAGGAGTCTCCTCTCTGCTCACTGCTTTCTCTGCCATATCCTCGTGCTGTTGGCAGCTCCAAGGCTTCCTTGCTTTCCCCCCATGGACACCCAGAAGGTCCAACTGAGTGACAATGGCAGTGGGTGATCACCAATGACTGATTTTACAAAGCCCATTAATCAGATTACCCTCAGCTGGGAGGGACCCACAGGGATCACTGGTCCAGCTCTTATCCCTGCACTGAAACCCCAAAAATCCCACCCTGGAGAAGTCTCCAAACTCTCCTGGAGCTCTGGCAGCCTCAGGGCCATGCCCATTCCCTGGGGAGCCTGGGCAATGCCATGCCCATTCCCTGGGGAGAACCTTTCCCTAAATCCAACCTAACCCCCCTGGCCCAGCTCCAGCTGCTCCCTGGGTGCTGTCCCTGACTGTGACAATGAAGAATTCAGTTCCTGCCCCTGCAGTTCCCTCAGGAGGATGCTGCTGACCCACTGAGGCTCCCCTCAGTCTCTCCTCTCCTCCAGCTGAACATTCCAGGTGCCCTCAGCTGCTCCTCACATGGCTTCTCCTCAAGGCCCTTCCCCTTGGACACTCTCAAACAGTTTCATGTCTTATTTATATTGTGACTGGTGTCACCCCAGCCACTGTCACCCTCTGTGCCCCAGCCCTGAGCCAACTGCTCACCCATCCCATGATGTGTTCCTCCAGCTGCAGGATGGACATTTTGTGCAGAAGGATCCCGTGGGAGACAGGATCAAAAGCTTTGCAGAAGTCCAAAAAGATTCCATCTCCTGGCTTTCCTGGATCAGCCAGCTGGGTTACCCTGCTGTAGAAGGAAACTGGGTTCCACAAGCAGGACTTTCCTCATGGAGCTGTGCTGGTTGTCACCCAGCCTTCACTGTCCTCCAGGTGCTTTCCAGGACCTCCCAGAATAATCTTCTCCAAGATTTTACTGAGCATGTAGTTTCCAGGGTCCTCCTTCTTGCCCTTCTTGAAAATCAGGACAACATTCCCCAGCTTCCAGTCAACTGGGACCTCTCTGGATTCCCCAGAGAGGAAAAATCATCAAGAGGGGCTTTATGTTGACATCAGCAGCTCTTTGAGGATTCTGGATAAATCCCACCAGGGCCCACAGAGTTGCAGGGGTTCAGCTGGGGCTGCAGATCCTGCAGTTTCAGGCTGACTGGGAGTTGATCATTGTCACAGGCATGGTTCTCCAGCTCAGGGCACTGGGACCCTCCTGGTCTGTGACCCACGTTGAAGACAGACAAAGGCTGTGTTAAGCACCTCTGCCTTGTCCCTGTCCCTGTTTGTGAGGTGCCCATCCCCACCCTAGAATGGGCTGATGATATTTTTACACTGCCTTTTGCCACTGATGTACACCCTAGAATGGGCTGATGATATTTTTACACTGCCTTTTGCCACTGATATATTTTTAAAAACCTCTTTTTTTTTTGTCCCTGATAGTTCTGGCAGCTCGTTTAAAAACCCCTTTTTTTTTTTTTTTTTTTTTTTTTTTTTTTTTTTTTGTCCCTGACAGTTCTGCAGTTCTGGCAGCTCCAACTCCAGCTGAGCTTTGACCACAGGAATTTTCTCCCTATAGTGGGGAGCTGCAGCTCTGTGTTGTTCCCATCCCCCCTCACCTTGCTTCCACTGGCACACACCTTCCTTTTCCACCTGATATCCAAGAGGAGATCCCTGTTCAGCCAAGCCAGCTCTGCTTGACTTCCAACATTTGGGAATTGCTGCTCCTGTGCCCTTGGGAGGTGATGTTTAAAAAGGGGCCAGCACTGATGGACCCCAGCACCTGCAAGAACATTTTCCCAGGGGACCTTACAAATTCCCTGAGCAGCCCCATGGTCAGAGGGGAGGTTTTGCTGGCACTTTTCTTCCTCTCACCAGAGGTTTTAAACTCCATGGCATTGTGGTCACTGTGGCCAAGACAGCTCCAAATCCCCACTTTGCTCATTGCAATCAGGTTATTTGTAACTCAGACCAATTTCACAAATCAGGGGTGTCTGTTTTTTAACCCTGGGCTAAAATCCCTGTTATTCAGGGAAATCCTACAGCAGCTTCACCTCACTGGGAAACCTCCTCTTGCCCTGAATTCCATGTGAATATTGTCATTGCTTCCTATATACACTGAGATTAGGTACAAAAACTCTGCTCATTTGAAACTCCAGAGGTACCCAAAATCTTTAGGTACAACATTTCCAGCTCTCATTTTAATCTTCACGTTTAGCTCTGTGCCTGGCGTTATCCAGAAGCAGGAAGAAGGTGCAGGAAGAGGGTTCTGTCAGTTGATGGAGTTCCCAGTCTCAAGTAGAAATCCAGATTTCTTTCAAGTTATGGGAGGGAATAACCCCAAAGCCAGGGGGATGTAGTGTTGGGTCCGACACACGGCGAGAAATGGATTTCTTACGGAGTTACCATTGCACTAAATGTTAGATACTGCGCACCTGAATGAGGTAAACATTACAGACCATAAAATACTTAGGGAAATGAATTGTTACAGCTTCATCTTTGGAAAAGAACCCGCTTCCTTCTTCACTGGACAATCCCAGAGTCAACAGACGTTTGCTTCCGCGTCGTCTTGGGAGGCGGCGGCGGCGGAGTCTTGCTGGGCAGAGGAGGAGGCAGGTGCTGGAAAAAAACAATTTGGGCAGGTCATGTTAGGAATGAATGGAATTCTGGAACGTTTTTGAGTCATCTCTAAGTGCAAGAGACAGCAGGTAAGTCTGGAACCCTGTGGCTCACAAAAACCTCTCCCTGCAGAATTTGCTGTGAACACAGAATGCATTCAGCCATTACTTTTAAATATAACATTGACTTTTGACAGTGAAAAAAAAATCTCTCAAGAGTTCAGGATTAATTAGTTCAATATTTAAGGGAAAAATCTTTTGAAAGCACTGGAGAAGTTTATAATTCCCCACTTTATATCATGATAGGATATTGATTTCTTGGTCTGTATTGATTGCCCTCAGCCTCTAGGCACTCAGAGCTTAAAAACCAAGCTGAAGCAATGGCTTCATTGCTTTTCCATAATGTTTTGGATTTTGCACAGTTAGAACAGAAATATTTAAACAAAAAACCAAAAAAGAAACAATTTAAAATCATTTAGAGAGGCAACTCACAATTTTCTATTACACACACAGTTATAATTAAAATATTCCAAACAGAAATGCAGAACATTCAAATACACGTATTTTAAATCACTTTACATATCTCACAACAGAAAAGCATCCCCAGTCAGAATCACCAGCTAATTGGACAAATTAAAAAAGCCATTATGGAAATTAAGACTTTTTTTTTCCCTAATGTTGAAACCTACAAGTGATAAAATCTGTTGCAGAAAGAGCTGGAGAACACTGCAGTTTGCAGGCAGGTTTTCCCAGATTTTGGCTGTGCAGGCAGCACAGGTTTCCCAGAGGCTGTGCTGCAGTGTCACAGCTCATCAACTCTGCTCTGGCTTTGTTTTTCCCTGTGATTCTCCCCCACTCCCCAGTCAGGGCCTTTTGTTTTCCTCCAAGCCCAGGGATGTTTTTCCAGCTGTCTGTTCCTGTCCTGCCTCCCCCAGCCCAGCACAAGCTGCTGGCTCCACACAGGCACAGCCTGAGGAGCACCAGCTCTGCCCAAACTCCTTGGTCACCTCTGCAAGAACAGCCCAAGCACCTGCAGTGCCTCAGGGCTGGACAGAATTCCTGATGGTTTGTCAGGATCAGGATAATCCTGGTATCTAAACAACTGAGAAACCCCATGGAACTGCACAGAACCAAAGCTGGTCCTTTTCAAAGCTATCCAAGGATGCTGTCCCAAAAAGGAGAGAGGTTCAGGGTGATGCCAGGACATCTCAGTCCCTCCTCTGCTCAGAGCAGCTCCTGATGCTCCTGCAGTCTCATGACTGGGAGTTTTCAGAGATGAGTAAGAGCAGAAGAAAACCTTTAAGGTAACTGAATATGCTCTCCCAAGCAGGAAGAAGCCAGCATGGAGTTACAAATCTGAGATTTCACCAGACAGTTTTACTGATCACAGGCTAAGGAGAAAGCTAGGAATGCAAACTGGCTGAGTAAGGCAGGCTGGATCTTTGCTGGAATCTCTTTCCTGTATCCCACCTGGACAGCACCACTTTCCACTCCATTTTACACCTCTCCTCATTCCTCCCAACTCTCTTCCCAGGCAAAGGAAGAGGGATCCCAAACCACCACCCGTGAGCGATGTCCTGAGCTTGTCTCCATTCTGCTCCATCCCCTCTCCATTTCCCAGCCCCTCCAGCAGCACCACTGCTCTTTCTGCCTGCTCCCAGCCTCCTCCTTGGCTTCAAAATGCTCTCTGGCACTCTGGAAACCCATTGGGTTTGATCTGCTGCTGAGGGACAATCTCTGAAGCAAAAGCGAGCCACCAGACCAGGGTGCCAGGCTGGAAAGCTGCACGTCCCTGCCTGCCTGGAAAAAAGGCACCCACCCCTGGCACAGGGGACAGGGGTCAGTGGTGGCCTTGGCAGTGCTGGGGGAACACTGAACTGGATGATTTTAGTGGCCTTTCCCACCCTAAATGATGCCATGGTTTCCCACAGCAGGCTCCAAACGGGCACTGCTTGTTCCCGACTTCCAGTGGGACACGATGATCTCTGAGTCAGGAAAGTCAACAGATTAATATGAAAGGCAGATAAAATAAGAATTTAATTTTTTTACTACATGCAAAACGGAAGATTTTGTTTGGTTTTTTAATTAAAATGCCACTGCTGATCTGCCTCTGAAGTGTTACAGCCAGAACCATTAAATATTTCTTCTACCTGAGCAAATCCACTCTTAACTTGGCATTTTACCTCCTGAATTCCTGCTAAGGTACCTGAATAAATGCCAGTTGGGATCTGAAGACTCCAAAATCTTTGAAAACTTGCTTAATTACAGTCCTGTATCCAGGCAAGGCCTCTGGGAAAGCTCTGGGAAATGCTGGTGGTCTGCAGAACATGAACATCTCATGGAGCAGACATTCCCTTCAAACTCCATAAACCATGTGCCCCTCAAAAACACAGCACAAAATAGAAAACTTTTCTCCCTGCTTCACTCTCTTTAACTTCATATTCATCACCAGGAAAAAAAAAAAAAAAAAACAACTCTGCTGATAGCATCATTTGTGCAAATCCATTTTGAATTTAAATAACACTCTATTGGCAATAATTCTCAATTCAATTAGATCAAAGGCATTTCTCAACCAAATGAGCCCCTTCATATTGATCAGAGAACAATCAAATCAGCCCTGAAAACCTGGTTCTGAAAAGCAGAGACAATGCAAATACAATGAGAAGAAGCTAAATATATATGCTATAAATAACAAGCTCAAAACCTACCCGAGCTCAGATTCTGCAAGCAAATTAGGCAGAAAGAAATAGCAGAGATAGGTAGATAATTATTATAATTGAATTTACAATTTCCATTAGAAAGTCGGATAAATTTAGCACATGTTCATTTATATAATAAGCTCCCAATGAATATATTAAGTAGGATGTGTAATGCTGGTTGGGGTGACAATGGTGGGAATTTTGCAAGACAAAACATTTCATTATGGAGCTGGGGCAACTCCAGAGCATCACTCCCAGTGCTGATCCATCCTTCCTTTTATCCAGGACAGAAGAAATTGAACCACATTTCCTCCCTCCCTTCAACACCACACTCACAAAAACCATTATCAGGCTTACAAAGTTCATCTGTGCTGTGCTTCCCCTTAGAAACTTTGCAATAAAAATAGAGTTTGCCTTGATTTTGTGTTTAATTAAGACTCTGTCAAGTTGGTGTTTATATCTCCATGGTTAATTGTGAACCTGACTTTTCCCTTTCCTTCCTGACAAACTGACAGAGGCTGCTGCTTCACATCCCAACCTATTTTGGGCAGAATCCTTGACTCAGGGGTACCTCAGGGGAAGCAGAAACCTTATGTAAAAGGCACATCTGCAACACAGAAACAATCTGTTCCTTCTGCTTCAGACATGAAATTGCTCCCATTTGTTTGCTGGTTTTTTTTTTTTGTTTTTTTTTTTTCCCTGATACAGAAAAGAATCAAGTTTAAAAACATTTGTCTGTCTTCTCTTACAGAGAGATATAAACTGCACTACACCAGGCGTGTTCAAGATGTAGTAAAAATCAATTACAGAAGATGAGAAAATGCTTTTTTCAAATTTTTTTTTCCTACTCTCAAACAGCAAAATGAGAGACGAGTTGTTTTTCGTTCACAGAATACTGTGAAAAGAAATAACTACCAAAAAATCAAACAGGATTTGATTCTCCAAAAGGGTCCTTGTGGCACTGCACAGGATTTCTTCCTGGGCAAGGAACTCTTTGAAATTCAGTGGTCATCGACAGGACACGCTCTGGAGATCCAGTGAGAAGCACTTTGGTTGGAAGGATTGAGGGATCTAATTAGGTCAGAAGCAGCAGAAATGGGATGTAAATAGACCATCAGCCACCCAGGACTGTGAAAATGCTTTCAGACACTGAGCTATCCCTTCAGCACGGAGCTGAGATGCCTGACAACACTGTGGTTATTTCATATCTGCAATGAAAAATAACATTTGAGTGTGAGGCTCTGGCAGAGTAACTCTCCAGCAGGGAGAACAGCCCAACTCCACTAATGGCAACCAAATTACAGACAGTTTAAGCTAATTGGCTGTTTGACCCAGGGAGCAAAGTTCTGTGCAAAATCCAGCAGGTAACTGATGGGAAATGACTGTTTAGCCCCTGGTTCATCCATCATCTATTAGAGTCTCATTTGACTCTGTGGCACAGCCATTACCTGCCCTTGCTGGAGTGCCCTGGCATCAGGGAGAGGAACTGGAAGGGTTCTTCTGCAGAGATGGGTGTGTTCCCACCCCCAGCCCCTCACAGGGAACAGGAGAAATGCCTCAAAATGGGAAACATGGAATTGCTCCAGGTCAGAATCCCAGAGCAGATCAAAGGGGCTCCTCTGCTCTGGAGCCAGGCTGGGACACCTGGAGAGGAGCAGCTCCAGGGAGAGCTCAGAGCCCTGCCAGGGCCTGAAGGGGCTCCAGGAGAGCTGGAGAGGGACTGGGGACAAAGATGGAGGGACAGGACACAGGGAATGGATTTAAGCTGACAAGGGGTACATTTAGATGGGATCTTGGGCAGGAATTGTTCCAGGGAGGGTGGGCAGGCCCTGGCACAGGGTGCCCAGAGCAGCTGTGGCTGCCCCTGGATCCCTGGCAGTGCCCAAGGCCAGGCTGGACACTGGGGCTGGGAGCACCTGGGACAGGGGAAGGTGTCCCTGCCATGGCAGGGGTGGCACTGGATGGGATTTGAGGTCCCTTCCCACCCAAACCAGCACATCAGCATGGCCCAAACCATGGCCTGATCCTGTGTGGAGAGCAGGACACGGCCACTCCCTGAACTGAATCAAGGGACACATCACATGTCTGGGCAGACAGCAGGAAGGAGAACACAGGTCTCATTCCAAGTCCTGTAAAAAGCATTGGCAGTCCATTGACTTGGAGACTTATTAAAAAGTAAATGAATTTTTCAGAAACTCTTTGCTCAGCAACATCTTAACCCACTGAAGAGTGAGGGACCGGCACAGGAGGAAAGGCTTGCTAGGTTTCCCATCCCCAGCAGGCAAGAATAATGATCAGATGGCAAATAAACCCTGTATTTTAATTTGTTTTTTTTTCTTCTGGGCACATTGTCCAAACACTCCTGGAGCTCTGGCAGCCTCAAGGCTGTGCCCATTCCCTGGGGAGCCTGGGCAGTGCCTGGGGGAAGAACCTTTCCCTGAAATTCAACCTAGATCAGAGAGGAGCTGCAGGCTGCTCCTGCAGCCCCTCAAGTTGTGCTCCCTAATTCCCTGCTCCTCCACAGTTCCAGCTGCATTCCCAGCCTCTCTGTCCCTGTCCACATGAGGACAACACATTTGCTGAAGCCTATAAAGTCAGTTTTTGCTCATTGCAGCTGCTACGGGAGAAAATTTCCAGCACTGCAGCACCTGCATTGCAACACATGAAAAATCCCCCTGGGTTGTGCCTTCAGTGTGTTAGATGTGAATTTATCATCCAGTTTTATCCCAATGAGCAACCAGAACAATCCCCACACAGCAGAGTCAACCCAAGGCTGTTCTGCTGCTCGCAGGCTCCAGCCATCCCCACGTTCCACCTGTGCTGGATTGATGGAGATGTTCCCATCCCAACCATTACCCCATGCTTAGGAAGTGTTACAGCCAATATTAGCAACCCAAGTGCTCCTTTATCTATTTTGTTTGAGCTCCCTCCCTGATCTGAATACTAAGCAGGAGGTTGATTTGTATTCAAGGGTGAGGATGAACCCATAAAGAATGATAAGTGCCTCAAGGAATCCCTTGATGTAATAATAATCCTTGCAGGAGTCGTAGATTTCTCTTTTTTTTAATGTTCCCATATATTATTAAGGACATTTTTAGCAGAACAAATCACAGGGAGCAAGAAAATATCTACAAAGGTCTCAGAGTTAACAAGGAGTACGGGACAATCAGGAAATGATAATGAGGTGATCACCTGGATTAAAGACTTCAGGTAGACCAAGGTAACACTGGACTCTGAATATCTGAGATTGCTGTCTCAAAAATGACATTATTGCCTGCAGTTTGACTTGGAGCATCTGATCCCTTTCTGGCTGCCTGCTTTTAGTTCACTACAGCACTTTTCCTGCCTTTCATAACCCACTGCAAGACAACCAGAGTGAAAAACACAATCATTCCTCACACGAGGAGATATTTTCAGTTTAAAAGCTACTCAGATAATCTTATCTCTAATAGGTTTTACTGATTTTTCTTCACTGATACAACGGCAGTGTAATTTAAAAGATGATCAGTTTACCAGGCAGAGAATTATCCAGTTATGAATTATGGAGCTATTTGACCCATGAAACATAAGTCATTAAAACTGTGGAGTGGGATTTAATCACGGCAGCAATGAGAATTTACCCATCTGATCTTTCATGTCCAGCACTACTCATTTTCTTGATGTTCTTTAAAAGCTTCCTTCCTACCAGCCTGATGAAATAAAGGCACAGAGCGATTGTTATAAGATTAGAAACCTTCTCCAAAATCAATTCTAAGCCCAATACAGAATCACAGAATCTGCTGAGGTGGAGGGGACACACAAGGATCAGGGAGTGCCACTCCTGGCCCTGGCCAGGACAGGTGGCTCTGGGACAGATCTGCTTTAGATCCTTCTGCCAGGCTTTGAAACCACATTCCATGGTCTTGGAAAGCTTATAAAAACACAGATGCTGAAGAAAATTGTGGGCAGTTAGATAAGAAGATGTAGCTTGTATCTGATTGCATTTCTGAGCTATTAAATTCTGATGCCCTTCAACACCAGATGTTAAAAAATGGGCTCTGCTCCTACAGAGACAAAATGTAGTATAAAAAATGAGAGAAGCCTGAGCAATCAAGACTGGAAAGAGCAAAAATATTAAGAGCTGAGTAAAACTTTGCAAAAAACCAGGGGAGTATATTGGTACTGTATTTCTGAACTCCCATTTAATGATGTGGAAATGCTGCTTGTGGCAGGTACAGGAGCTGCACAAGGTCACAGAGCAAATCAGGCTGAGTTATCTCCAGGTGTGGGCTCCCAAAACCACTCCCCCATGGCATTTGGGAGCCATACAGTAACTAAAAACATCTATCCCCAGAGTGGAAACCAGTCAGGAAAAAAACCCTGGCCGCCAGGATTTTATTTCTTACCACTGTTTAATACTTTTTAGCTAAAAACTGAACTCATCTTAGCAATCCTGAGCTACTACCACAGCCTGAACCTTACAGTACATCACACAAAGTGAATTTACTACTCTGGAGTTTATGCAGGAAGGAGTTGAAGAAATGTGAATCCTAATGTGAATTTCCCAGCTTTCTTCCTGGGGATGGATCCCTTAGACAAACCTCCTGGCAGCCCTGCTGTACATTCTGTAATTTTCCACTTAGAGGGCTGTGTTCAGGACAAATGAGAGCTGGCCCCTGAGACAGATGCTGGGGAAATGGGTTATAAGGTTAGAAGTGCAGTAAAGTTTGATGGAAATGAGAGGGAAAGTGAAAATATTGACTAAAATGATCCAGCCATGGGGAACAACTATGGAAGAGAGGATGGGAACAGAGAATTTTCCAGTACATGCAAATAAAGAGTAAAACATGGGGGTTTCAATATCTCACTCCTGAAGTTACCTGTATTTTTATTTTACCATTCAGCCTGAAATGGTAAAACAATTCAAAAAAAGTCAGTTCCTTCAGCAACACAGGCACCATTTCAACCATGGAAAAGCTGGACTTTGCTAGAAAGCTAATTACTCCACAGAATTTCACTGGAATGGTGAACTTCAGAGGGATCCTGGATGACACCTCTGCAAACAAAAGGGATCAGTTCTGCTGGGAAGTTTCCCACAAACAGCTCAGTCAAAATTTGGCATTTCAGAGTCAAAGAAAATTTGTGACCTCCTGGGGTCTCACTGCCCTACTCAGATTTGATTGGTAATAAATTCAATTAATTTCCCAAAGTCCAGCCTGTTTTGAGGGCAAGGGATGAGTGATCTCTCCTGTCCTTATCTCAACCCATGAGACTTTCATTGTATTTTCTTTGCTTGCCCAGCTGAGGAGGGGAGTGATGGAGCATCTTTGGTGGGCACCAGCCAGGATCAACCCTCCACACCCCTTTAAATGTATTTTTTTTGCCCATAAAGAAAATAAAAGGCATTTCTCAAAAGTGCTGCTTTAAAGAAAAGGACCACATTATTTTTAAAAGCTTGCAGCTACAGGAAACAAAGCTGAAAAAGTGAATTTTCCTCAGAAAGCTGCAAGCCCTGTTGATGATGAAGAGCTGCTGAGCTCCTTGCCTCAAGGAAATAAATGAGTGGTGACTGAATGTTGGCAGAGCAGAGCTCTGGTGGCAGGTTCGTGTTTTATTTCCTTTCCTGACACAAGACTGAAAGGCTTTAAACCCAATTTGCTGCTCCCTGCCCAACAAACCTGACAACATCTGCCTTGGAATTGCCCAGAATGAACCCAACTTCCCTTCAGGTTCTGCTGTTCCCTCACCCTCCTGGCACTGCAGAGCCCTCTGGATCAGCTGAAGGATGCAGGAGCAGGATCCCACCTCCCCTGGGATGGCTCAGGGAACAAAGAACTGCAGAAGGGATCACTCTGTGGGGACTCACCCGTTGGTGGGCAGGGGGGGACGTGGTGGGGCTGATCAAGTCCTGGCTCTCCATGAGGTTCCCGTAGTCGGCCGTGCTTCCTTTGAGGGGCAGAGGAGGGGGAACGTCGGGGATGTCGGAGCTGGACATCCCATTCAGCTCCAGATCTGCAGAAAACAACACTGGGTTAACCCTGCCAGCAGCTGGATCCCACAGCTCCACAATGGTTTGGGCTGGGAGGGACCTCGTGTATTGTCCCAGGAGAAGAATCCTGGGTGAAGGGATTTTCCCAGAAAATATGACAGTGATACTCATGGTTCATCCAGTCATGGGAGATGGACTTCCACTATCACCTTCCACTATCCCAGGTTGCTCCAAGCCCTGTCCAACCTGGTCTTGGATTCACTTTAAAATGCCCTCAATGTACTTGAGCAATCTCCTGTTTCTAATAAAACATAATTTTTGTTTCATGTTTCCCACCAAAATATCCATAGCTTAGGAAATATAATTTTCCCACCTTCAAGCTCGCCTTGTACATTAAAACACAATAAAAGTTTTGCAAAGTGCTTGAAGAAAATATAATCTGGCTAAGTTTTATTGACTTTCTCCCAGTAAAATCAAAATTCCCTGTTAATAAAATGCACAAATGAAAGCCTGGAATTAAGTACATCTCTCTCCAAAACATTCAGGCTCCAGGTAACTATAACAAATGAGCAGCCATTAGTTGTTGAGTAAATAAAATCATGCATGAGAAAGTACCAAACATTTATTATTCCTCTGTGCTGGGTAGAAAATTCCCTTTTCTTAGCAGATAAATCCTCCCAGGTATGTGCTGGAGAGGCAAATAGCCTGAGGGACAATAAAGTTTATTGAGGCCTGAGTGATACATAGGTTTTTGGGGAGAAATCCCCCCTGGTGTATTTCAGGGTAATTCAGTCATTTTAATACAGTCATTTTAATTCAGTCCTTTTAATAAAACCCACTGCGATCTCTACGAGATAAGAAACTGAAATGATTTGTTTATAAATGAGGGAATTTTATTTAGGAAAAAAAAAGTGATTTCTATTTTATTTTACTGGGGTGATTTGTGAAACAAGAAAGGACTTATTTATGCAGATGTTTTTATTGCAAAGCTCATATCAATATTTTATTAAAAGTGTGATTTTATTGTTCTCTAAAATGGCCTCTCACAACACAATTTAACTCTAAGGTGGCTCTATTGATTTGTCACTGAAAACTGTAATTTTACTCCTCATCCTTCCACCTGAACTCAACTACAAGTTAAAAAAAGGTTATTTTCCATCCTGGGATTCAAGAATTTCAGTGGCTTCCTCTGCAATAGGCTGAAAATGTTGTTTGTCCATCAGGAGCTGAATTTCTCATTGCTTTTTCCATTGCTCCTGTTTTCATCCTTCTCTTTCTACAGAGAGGATTTCTCCATTCCTCAGACATTCCTCAGAGTTTCCTTTCTGGATCTCCATGAGATCTCCATTCCCCAGACATTCCTCAGAGTTTCCTTTCTGGATCTCCATGAGAATCTCCTTCTTCATGGAACTGAACTGCAGCTGGGAAACCACACTGTGCATTTGTAACTGAAGATTGATGCTGGGAATGAACTTCCCCGTCCATTCTGGATGAATTCCCCATCCATTCTAAAGAGCTCAGGATCTGAGACCTTTAATGTCACAAAGCAACTCCTTGGCACAGGTCCTGCACAGCTCCCCCACTACTAAACATCTATATCTTAGCTAAATATATTGATATCTGAATTTTTGGTTGGTTTTTCCATGCAGTTTAGGATAACACAGGGAAACATTTGGGAAATGGCATTTTCTTTTGTGTGTTTAGTTAGAGCTTTACCAAAACCTTGAATGCTGCTTCAGAAAGAGAAACCTTTCCATATTTACTAGAAATAACCCATGTCTTTAGGCCTCTCTGTAGACATTCCTTGGGAAACTGAGTGGAATAACACACAATTTCCCAAAAATAAGGTAAATTTAACCCCCTGAACACTTCAGCTTTGCATTCTATATGGTATTTTTTCAAACAACAAGATTTCATTTCTTCCATGATAAACTTCTGACTTCACCTAAGCCAAGATGCTCCCAAGAGGATGGTGAGACCCCTTTTGTTAGAAATAGCAAAAATAAAAATTCCTTTGTTTCTTTTAACAGATCCTTGGAACACCCTTGGAAAGGCAGGTTTTCAGGAAACATTTGAGCAATGTTTTCAAGAGAGCTGGAGAGGAAACAAGGTGTGGAGGCAACTCTGCTTGAAGAACCTGGATGGAACCCAACTGTTCATGCAGTTGTGTCCTGCTCTGCTTCTCCCCCTTTCCCTTCATCCCCCAGCTCCTGCTCCAGCTGGAATTCCCTGCAGCCTGTCCGTGGAGCCTTCCCTACCTCATCCTGATGAAGGATCCAAATAAATAAATCCCTGCAAGTGTGGGCAGAGCATTTCCACCCACGGGAAGAGCTCACGAAATACACGAGCAACGTGTTTGTATTTATCTGGCAACTGTTTAGTGGGACAACAAGACTCTATCCTAAAAACAATTATTTGATCTTTCCCAGAATTCAGTGAAGTCCAGGGAATATCCACCCTGCAGCAGAAACAGGTATTGAACAAATCCAGGAATCCTCAGTGTTACCCCAAGAAAATCTATTTGCTGCAGATCTGTTATAAACCTCCCTAAGATGGTCACTAAAATAATTACCCCAAATTTCTGGTGTGCTCCCATTATTCAGTGAAATTCATTATTCAAGGTGGTCCATCAGAGGAGTGTGCTCTGGATATTTGTTCCCTGCTGGACATGTGCCACTGGGAAGATCTTGGAGCTGGAAAGGATCAGTTAAGGGACCCTTTTTTCATCTTACCCTAATGATCACATTTCACACTCCCTTCTCAAGTGCCAGCTAACAGGCAGCCAGGATTGCTTAGCAACCCATTAACTGCTTTTAGCCAATTTGGGCTCTGAAGGAACTTCTTTATCCTTGAGATTCCTAAAGAAATTTATCACTATAATTCCTGAAATGATTCTGGACTGGTGCAATAAGCTGATCCTATTTTATATAACACCCACCAATTTCTAGCACAAAAAATATTCTCAGAAATAATATTCTCTGGTAACTTCAGGTATTTTTTTAAAAACAGAAATCAAACTAAGTGTTAATAAAATGTACATATAAAAAAATCCAATTAAAATATCTTTTGCAGGAGTATATATCCTCTAGTTCTCTTTATTCCCAATTTGTAGCATACTGGTAGGTTTTGGCTATAAAATTGTGAAGGAAGGTGAAAGTTACAAGTTCATTGTAATCGAAATATTTGCTTTGGGGTCTGACTGTTTGAGAGAAAAATTTTTAAAGTACCAAAAGCAGTAAATAAAGCAGTGACCTAGATGGAACAAGATTTTTTTCTGAAGACTGATCATCCCTTCTCCTCCTTGCTAAGACTGCACTCTTGACTACTGGAGTAGGATTTGGGGACATGTATAAAAAAGATCTTTTTTTGCTTTTTTGTCACATGTTGGCATCTGCAAACTCTGAATAACAGGTTTTGGGAAAGAGCACTGGGAAAGAAATAGGTGTTGGATTACACCCAGTTCTGCAATAGGGTTTGCTGCAGACTGAAGCAAACAGATGATACTTTACAGAAAAGCTGAGTGATAGATGTCAATGTCAAACAAAAACTACTTCAAAAAGCCTGACCTTTATTTTCCCTTCTGGTTTGTACTCACAATATATCAAAGAAAAGATTGTTTAATGTACAGTTACAAAAAATATTGCTTTTTAAGGCTTTATGCTCCAAAACACTCAATATGGGATGAAGTACAACATGAATTTTTGACTGTTACTCTACACCTAATTAATTGTTAATGATTACTTGAAAAGAAACTGTTTCAGTGCAATGATTCTGCTCGCTTTTGTAAAATACTGAATTAATTTTTGCTGGCATAGGTAAGAGGTTAAATAATACTGATGCCTTGTGAAGGCTGCTCTAGAGCAGAGGCTGGGCAGAGCTAAAGAATAAAGCAGGGATTGATTCCAAGGATCTCCTCCATGGATCCACCTTGGGCAGCACAAGAGCCCAGCCAGGGCTGCACCCAGGATGAACCCAAATGGTCCCAAAATGCACGAGTGCTCACGGGGTCTCTCCCTGGGATCAGCTCTGCTCCATGTGCACATTGCAGTTCAGTGTCCAATTCCAGCTCAGCCCCTGCACTCCCATCCTGCTTGTTTTTCTCTCTGCAGCCCACGGGGTTTGTGCTCCTGGGCTGAGATTTGGATCATTTGTCCTTGGTGCCCAGCTGGAGCAGGAATTGTTTTGTCTCCCTGCTCTGTGCAGAGCTCCCCATCCCCTGATGTGAACCCAGACCCACACACTAAAGCAGCCCAGAATCTGAAAAAGAGAAAAGCTAAACCTGAGGCATCAATACCTGGTGCAAAAAATACCCTGGTGATGGCAAAACTCAAAGCGGGGTGTGAAGAAACGCTCAGGAAATACATTTCCACACTAAAAAGGAATTTATTTCAGAGAGAAGACTTACTGGGCTGGATGCTGAAGGCGAGTTTGGTCCGAGGGGTGATGGGGGGTGGGGTCAGCTGGGAGCTGGGCGCCGCCGGGGACACGGAGAATCGCCGCTCGCTGGACATCACGTTCAGCACCTGGCTCTTGGGTCTCTGCGGCCTCAGGGGGCTGATCTGGGGGACAGAACCAGGGAGGTGGGCAAGGGATGCAGAGAAATGAGTGTCAGAGATGTGGAATTGCCATGGTTTGATGCTCTACAGGGTGACAGCAGCGCTAACAGCCAATATTGCCGATTCCCAACTCCAGGTCCTCCCTTCTCCCAGCCCGGTCTGGTTTGCTGAGCTAATTCTCCAAACACTTGTTTAGTAACACCTGAGGAACTTTAGAGTCTCACACCACATTATACAGCACTCAAAAGCTTCATTTTTTCTCACACAGATCTACTTCCCTGTAAAAACTTACCTCTTTAACCATTTAACCAGGTTTCTGCTTTCCACATCCTTTCAAGCATACTTGTAGTAGAATGGATAAGCAAAGCAACCACTTTTTCAGGGGTAGATAATTATAAAAAAGTAACTAAGGAAAACATGTTAATTGGTGAAGGAAACACGCCAGAATCAAGAGAAAAAACAGCTGGAGGCAGGTCCCCAAGTTAACCCACTCTTCATCAAACTCTCTTTTGATGAAGACATCATCTGTCCAGAAACACCTTCTTGGTGGCTCCTCACTGCTTATATTTAGTTCACTGAAATCTCTCCTTTTTTCCCCCTCTCTGGCTGCTTCATAATCCATTCAAATTTTCCATCAGGAACCCTCAAAAGATATTTGTAATCTGATGGGCAACGCATGCTTTAGTTAAGGCAATTCTTTTTACTGAGTTTAATTCTGAGCTCTACTGATTTCCCCATTCACCACCCCCACAGTAACAGCAATCATAGTGAAAAAAATGAAGCTTTTATTTCAAACAGATCCCAGAAAATGGAGCAGCAGCCTGAAGTTAAAAGGGGAATTACTCCAAGGTGCTGCAGTGGGACAAAACAGAAAGTGCCAGCAGCAATCCAGGCTTTTTCAAAGGATTTTGTCATTTCCCAATGTTTGGGTTCTTATGAAGAACATTGGGAAGGAGAAATCTGAAATTTTCTTTTCAGAAAACAAACCCTAAAAGGCTTTGCATCAAAGATTGTGCCTATGAGACCCTTCTACAACAAATGAATGACCAAAAAGTATGGACCTTCTTCTTTTGGAAAGTTCATCAAGACCTCAGGGTGACCTCTAAGAAATTGTTTTGATGGTAAAAATAAAATTCTAGAGATTCCAAAGGTTTCTGCTTTCCATATCCTTTCAAGCATACTTTTAGTAGAATGGATAAGCAAAGCAACCACTTTTGCAGGAGTGGATAATGATAAAAAAGCAACTAAAGAAAACACAATAATTGGTGAAGGAAACACGCCAGAATCAAGAGAAAAACCAACTGCAGGCAGGTCCCCAAGTTAACCCACTCTGTAATTACTGAAATAAATAAATTCAAAATAAATGTGAACTTCTCCTGTGATTGACAACTTGGGCCTCCTCCGAAAGCTCCATACAAACCATGGATTTGCTGAGGAATATGAGCTCTTGGGAGGCCACCAATCCATAATGACGCCATTGCTAATTTTTCATGGTCTAGCCAAGGGCAGATCAATGGTGAGTGATGTTAGACACCACCAAATCAATAACACACAGCCTGTTCTTCTGATTTCCAGCAGCAGCCTCCCAGTGCTCTGCTAACTACCTGGCTCAGAGCGGGGTTTGCTCTCAGCTCCTGGGATCACAGCACAACAAGGACAATTTATGTTGAAGAAGCTGATGTGATACTTAAAAGAAGATAATAAATCTGTAGGAAACGATGAAGATATTACTGGTATCTTCACATACTCAAGTGCTTGATTTATCTTTGTTGTTTTATGTAATTAAGGCCTGGGGTTTGATCAGTCAATAAATTCAGGGTGAGTGCAGTAAAATTTGGGGAAGAGTATTTAAACCATTCAATTAAACAGACTCTGAATGCTCCTTTTCCATGCAAACCTAAAAGCTCCACGAAATAATTCTGCAATTTTAGAATTTCCCCATGTTCCTCCATGGTGATTCATTTGACTGGAAGAAAGAAGACCCCACAGAAGGCTGGAAACACTCGTTTCTTTACACAACATTGTTGGGAAGAGCAGCAGGAGCTCTGCAGAGATGGGGATGGCCACTGGCATTTCTCTCACTTGATTTTCTCTGGAAATTTGTCTTCTGCTGTAAAATCCCCAAATATTTCAGAAGTCAGAACTAAGAATCTGTTTAAAAAATTCACCAAATAACTGAAATGCTTTAATTGAATGAGTGACAGCACAACGAGCTGTAAAATTCTCAGCACAATGAATCCAGTAATAAAAAACTTAGTAACTAAAAGTATTAATTACTAAAATGTCACTTTAGAAACTTTTTTAAAGTTTAATTTCCATTTCTAGACAAATCTGTACTCCCAACTTTTCTTTAAAAAAAACCCCAATCCTTATTTCATTTCTTCACCACTTTTAATCCAGCAAACCTTTTTCTTCCAAGTTCTTAATGCAGGAAAAAGCAAAATGTCTTTTTCTTCATACAGCAAAGTGGTAGAAGTGCTTTGGGAGTAATTTCAGCTTAAAAAGGGAACACGAATGTTGAACACAGGGAAAAGCTGAATTCCTACCAAATTTCCCTTCACATCATTAACAGGGGATGCCTCCAGCACGCAGAAAAATTAAGACAAATTTTATCTTTAAACTCATCCTTGATATTATCTGTTCAAAATTCCAGACAACAGCAGTGGGAATTGGGCAAGCACTCGTGTAAACTGATCTCAAAAGTGTTTCTTCTGCTTCACCTAAAAATGAACCCCACTCACACCAAACGTTCCAAATTGACTCAGTCGTCTTGGAGCTCATCAAGGCTTCTGCAGAGGCTGAAAAGGGAGAGTTTTTCTCTCAACAGCAAACTCCTTTTCATATTATTGATCTGTGGACTTGAAGAAGCTCAAAATAACTGTAAGTAACCAGTTCTGACATCTCATTTCCCTCCCTCTCCATAACCAGGGGAATATTGCTCACACCAGTCAGCCACTGAAAGCTCCTGACTGGGAAGATTGGAAGAACTTGAGTCAAACCATATTGGGCTTTGCTGATTTTTGCTCCTCAGATGCCACACGGGAATATGCCCTGAGGGGTTATCTTGCCCTCCTTTCCAGCTAGAATTTGCATTTTTCCTGTCACAAACAAGCTTTTCCAATGTCCAAACCTCTGAGAGCTGACAGTGACCTCGCAGTGACAACAGCCAGCTCCCCAGCATCCTTGGATGCTTCCCAACTGCTCCTGCTGACTCAGCTGCCCTGAAATACAATTTCCTTCTTCTGTAACATCCCACAAGCTCTGCTGACCCATTTGGGAGCTGGGAGATGCCAGTGGAAGTCCTGCCATGGTGATCCCAGTCCTCAATAAGTCAAAACAGAACTGCTGCAAGGTGCAAAGAGAAATGCATGGCAGCAAAACCATGAGATGTGGAAATCTGTGCAGGAGGAATCTCCATTTAACTAAACCAAGGCTCATGCAAAATTTACTGAAGTCAATGGGAAAACTCGTTGGTTTCAAAGCTGAAGGCCTAATACCCTCAGATGGGATTTTATTGGAGTTTCTGACTGGGCACATCAAACACAAGAACTCTGATATTTCAGGATGTCCCAAGACACGAGTGAGAGATTAACTCATCTCTGAGTGGAAAAGGAGGGCAAAATCCAGAAAACAGAGGAAGTGTGGCTGAACATGTAAATATCTTCCTATAAATACCGAACAGAAAGAATTAAAGGATCCAGTTATCACAGGTGAGAGAGAAATAGTTTCCAAATCCAATGTCAATGACACAGCACCAACAAGACTCTGCTGAGTGCAAATCTGGCTCTACAAGTACTTGTGCAGATCTTGGAAAGAGCATTCCATTTATTTCTGGGAGGCAGTTTTAAGCTCTTGGCCTCCAAACAGGTGTCCAGGCAGAGATTTGGAGGTCACAGTCAGTTCACGCTCTCCCTGCTCCAGCTTTAGACATCACTGCTTTCAATTTCCCAGCTCAAACTTCTCAGGTTACCTAAGCCTTGAGGACAGTTCCAGTGAATTAAATCTAAGCCAAGAAGAGAAGGTTTAAGGGAGATATGCCCTGGTTTTAATATCCTTACACACAGGAATTGCTCAGGATTTTCTGCTCCAAACAGCCCATCAAGGACACGCAACCGCTGATGGAATGACCTTGGAATGTCCCACCAAACACTGTCCTGCAGTGAATTGTGGGCAAATCCATCCCAATCTTCTGGGAACCAGCAGTTCCAAAGGCTGCTGGGATGGCAGCATTTATGTCAGCTATGCTGTGCCATCTGCTCCTTTATCAAACAGTCACCCAGAGCTTTGGGTGAAGATTTTCAGAGGATCTTTTCCCCAGTGTAAATCAAATCTGTATTTTTGATTCATTAGCATGTATATTAACACTGTGGTATATCCCCTCAGAGTTATTTCTGGACTACAAAGGAACTAAACGGTAAAAATCAACATTTTGATTTCAAAAGAGAGGGAACACAGCTCAGAATTAGATAAAGCTTTCCTTGCTAATAAAGTTACCGTTTCTGAAAGGATCACTGCTTCAGCCTGCTGCAGAGAAATATCAGTAGATTTAAATTCTTTATCAAATATCTCTTGATGCTTGCTGTTCCTCTTCTCCTTCTTCTTTTCCTTTTTATCTTTATCTAGGTCATCCTTGTCCAATTTATCTTGCGACCTAGAATGCATCTTTTTTGGCAGGAGGGGCTCCAGCACGAACCTAAGGAAAGATGTTTTTGCTCAGATCAATAAAACGCTGTTTTCAAAACAACTAATTTTTATTTACGTATTTCCCAAAGTCTCACTCGAGTTAATGAGGCTTTGCTAATCCAGGAAAACTCATTAGAGGGAGGAGGGGGCAGGAGGTCACACAGTCATAATTGTCTTATAATAAAAATTACTGCAGGACTGCTGGAGAAGCGGAGCTGCAGATTTCCCTGCTCTGCAGTAAATTTATTGGTTTCTGGCTGCACAAACTCCTGAATTTCACATAAAAAATGAGTTGCTCATTCAGCACTGCCACTCTCCATGCTGGGGCACCTGGAAACTCCAGTCCCACCCACTGCCACAGACAGGGACACCATCCACTATCCCAGGGTGCTCCAACCTTGGACACTTCCAGAGATGGAGCACTCTTGGCCAGGCAAAGTATTTTATGATTTATTTTATATTATAAATGAAAAACACCACTAAGATCACACCTAGACGAAATCACGCTGGCAGATTTTAAGGCTGTCTCAAACCACCACACTACAAAACCAAAACCAAACCAAAACTTCCTAAAGAAGGACATTTTTAGCCCTGGAAAAGCATTTCCCATGCCATGGGGTGCATGCAGGTACACAGTCTTTGCTGTGAAATTCCAGAGTATTCATATTTCAGACAATTTGCACTGACATTATCCTAATCCCCACCATTAGCAGCAATACCCAGCAACATCATCCCAAATTATTGTTAATTTTGGTTGTTGTTTCCACTCTACATCAGCTCCTTTGATGGGAAGATGCTCAAAGCAGCACCTGCAACATCAGCCCCTGAGCCAATTCCCAAATCCTGAATCCCATGGGTTGGGAACAAACCCGTGAGTTTATCCATCCCATTTTATAGACAGGGAAAAGGGAAGGCAACAATTTGCCCAGGGCCACAAAGAACTTCAGTGACAGAGCCCAGAGCAGAGCCCAGCTCTCCCAACACCAGGACTTTTTAGGAACCTATGTTGTGTATTTGGGCTGGGTGGTGCCAGCACCTCTGAGGCCAACTGCAAATTCACAAGAGGAATTTCCATCCTTCAGACAATGATTAATTGCTTCCCTTCCAAGCACTGTATTAGGACTGTTAATTATTTGGATTATTAGTGTATCTGTGCTAAAATGGGTCAGCACACTGTGCTCCAACTGGAAGCAATTTGGGACTGCCAAGAGCTGAGAAATCCCACTGGACCCCAGGATTCTCCTGCTTCCAACTACTGAGTGCAAGTGCTCACATTTGTATTTCTAAGTCCCATCTTAAGCAGGGAATAAACCCAAGGCCCTTTTTAAAATTCAGTTTTATTTACACAGAGAGTTGGGAGCTGTAAAACCTGTTCTGTGTCAAAGTCTGCTTTGAGTCTTTGCTGCTTTGAGTGTTTGCTGTCCAGAGCAGGAGCTGGAAATGGCATTAAACAGAAGCTGGGTGATTTGGATAAGACACTCCTTTAGCTTCATGTTTAATTGTTTTTTAGCTTTGTCTCTATTCTCAAATTTAATTTATGAAGAGACATGGAAAGACAAGAGGAGAACTGACCATAAACCCCACCAACTACAGCAGGAACAGGAGGAAACTTCTGCCAGGCCAGCAGTGCCAAACCACCACATGATTTTACAGCCACCTGAATTTTTGAGGTCTTTCATATTATTTATATCTGATGATTTTTCTTCTCCTCCTCCTGATCAAACAAATGAGAGGTATTTTCAGGTCTTCTCAGTGACAAGAGTTGCTCATTCTATTTTCCTGTATTGCCCTGGAGCTGAGCTGCACTTTGGTGTTTGTGGGATCTTTGTGAAAATACACCCTGAGGACTCAGATGCTCAAAAACTGCCATGTGACACCTACCACAACACAGCTGAGAGGGAAACCTGAAGGAAATAACACCCAATGAGAAAGTAAAATCCGTTTAAAGATTTTGAAGGGAAAATTAGAAAGAGGCAGGGAAATAATCAATATTTTTCTTCTGAGATAAAACAAAGTTGCTCACTTACTTGGCATGGCTGTTCTGCCCAAGTTCCAGCAAGACAACTTTGTTTAGAATTAGTCAAAACTAATCTAAAAAACTAAGGATCCCTGCTGCCCCACATTTACACCAATGTGTGAAAGCATTCCAGAGAGTAGTGGAATGAGAGCTGAGCTGTGCCCTGTCCACAGCTCCTCCCAATGATTAAATAAACTCTTTGTAATCAAGGCAAGCATCCTGTTGGTCCTTAGGTGCTGGATTTAATTTTACTTGATGCCTTTAGTCTCTAGCCAGGTATTAACTCCTCTCTGAAGGTGCACAGGAGTTTCCAGCACATCTCTGTGAATCAGCAGCCCTTCAGAAGGCTTTAAAAAAAACTGCTGCCTTGGTCAAATATTGCATTTCTGGATTACAGGGGTGCCTGAGGGGAGGAAGAGAGAGAAGGGACTTCTGAGGCTGCATTGGAAAAGCCCAGAAAGCAAACAGATTATTTTGTTCTTTGAGGGATGTGACTGTGAGACAGGGCTTATCAACAGAATTCCCAGTCCTCATGTGAAATATCTTGATAAGTCTTGAAGTACAATCTTGCCATAAGCAGCTTTTCCTCTGGCAGCCAGAGTGAGCAGCAGTGATTGAGCAGTCAGGTAATCCTGCCCTGAGCTCCTGGGACAGGGCTGGCTGCAGAGCATCCCTCACACACCTGTGATACTCTAAAAAGGGGGAACTGAGCTCCTCTTTGGGGTTTTTTGGTGTTGTTTGAATGCTTAGAGGGCAAAAAAGAATTGTATTTATCTGGGTCAGAGAACAAGAGACCTTGAGAGAAACGTCTCTGTAGGTTGGGGTTTTTTAGCCAATATTAGGCTGTCACTTAAAAAAAATCATGGAATAGTTTGGTATAGAAGGGACCTTAAAATTCATCCAGTTCCAGGGGCAGGGGCACCTTCCAATGTCTCAGGCTGCTCCAAACCCCAGGGTCCAACCCAGCCTTGGACACTTCCAGGGATCCAGGGGCAGCCACAGCTGCTCTGGGAATTCCAGCCCAGCCCCTCCTCATCCTCAGAGCCAAAAATTCCTGCCCAATATTCCATCCATCCCTGCCTTCTGGAAGTGGAAGCCATTCCCTGTGTCCTGCCCCTCCATGCCTTGTCCCCAGTCCCTCTCCTGTGGAAGAGGTTTTACAGTGACTTCTGTGAGCCAGAGAGAAGTTTGATAGAGAATCCATGTTTGATAAGAGGATCCATGTGTACCCCTGAAAGAATTTCCTACCAAGGTTGTTGACATAGAAACCAAGAAAGAAAGAAGGATAAATAAGAGCAACCTGCAACTGCCTGTTCCAATGAGCACTTTGTTTGTCTTTCCTAACCAATGAGTAGAGTGTAAATTCAAGAGTTTTGTCAGAATGTATAAAAAGCAAGCATGGTAAAATAAAAACGGTTTGAAGCCTTCTGAAAATGGACCGTGCTGCTTTGTATTGTCTCCATCTCAAGCATGACACTCTCCAGCTCCCCTGGAGCTCTTTAGGCGCTGGAAGAGGCTCTGGGGTCTCCCTGGATCTTCCCTTCTCCAACTGAACAACCCAAGCCCTCCCAGCTGATTCCAGTTCCAAGAGCTGGGAATGCCACCCACCCTCCACCCCCAGGGAGCATCAGGACAATCCTGGCTAAGGATCCCTCCCTCACCCACCCCAGGGAGCACCAGGAACAATCCCTGGCTGGAGATCCCCACTCACCCGTCGGAGCCAGGCCGGGAGGGAGTGCTGTCCGAGGAGAGGGAGGACACAGAGGCCACGGAGAGGGGCCGGGATGAGGAGGGCATGGTGAAGGAGCGCACCATGGAGCGCGGCCGGCTGCCCCGCCGCTCCTCCAGGCCCGTCAGCTGCAGCCAAGAAAGGCCAGATGTTACTGCTTGATCCCAAAAAAACAATATCTATTGTAAAAAGCAGGCAAGCCTGACGAAGGGGAGAAATTATGCATCTGGCTTCGTTGATATCAGAAGGCTAATTAATTACCTTATTATACTATATTATATTACACTATATTACATTATATTTAACTGAACCTGCCCAAGCACTCAACTCAACCCAACTGCCCAGAGTCTTGTGACTGTCAGCTGACAGTCCTGACACAAACATGGGTTCAACTGGTCAATGAATCAAAACACACCAGAACCCAATCACCAATTCCCTTCAGGTAAACAATCTTCCACAATGCATTCCACTTGTGAACAACAAGAGGAGCAGCAACTGAGATAAGAATGTTTTTTTCTTTGTCTGAGGTTCAGACATTATGAATCCCAGAAATATTCTTGGGAAGTTGTGCCTTGCTTTTCTCTGTTAAGAGAAATGTGGCTACAAATATGCAAAGGGAATGGGGGAAGGTTCCGTGGATTTTCTTCCAGGTAGAGTTTGGTAGCATTAATGAATTAATGACAACCAAGACCTCATGTTACCAACAAGGAAATAGGTTCTAAAGGAAATCCACCCAAAGGACTGGAAAAAAAATATTTAGGCCCTCACAGGCAGAGGTATATTTGAAGCATATTCCAAGAATTCCTTTGTTCCAATGGTATTTCCATGCTTTTTTATATCTTGCTTTTAAATGACAATCTTTTTACATATAATTTTTTAATCCATCTCTGCTGTCATTGTGACTGCCTTGTCAATATATTTCAATGAAACGGACTTCATAAAAACCCCAAAAACCCAAAGTAAAAACTCACAAAGAGAAACTTTATGTCAAAAATATCAGGAGAGCCAATTTACAGAGTGACACCAGGTTAAGAAGAAAATATATTAAAGTTTTGGGTTTGTTTCAGACAATTTCAGAGTTCTGAATATTTCTCCAAGCTTTGTTAGTCATTAATAACTGATATATGCATAAAATAATTGAACTCTTGGAGTCAACAAATAAGAATCTCATGCTGTTTAATTACAGGTATATTTTCCACCCTGTCAACTACTGGTAAATTGGCCTTGTACAAGGAAGACAGAAGCGATAAAACTCCATCAATCCTGAACATTCTTACTGGTGGGTAGAGTGAAATTAGAGAGATAACACCACTTTCCAGTCATCTCCTTGATGATGTAAATGGATATTACTGAAGTGACTGACATGTAGGTATCATTAATGTTAATTACTTCTGTTCTCCCTGGGAATAAATTACTGTTTGAACTTTTCCCTGAATATATAAATTCATAAGATGGGATTTGAAGGACCACAAACAGAACATCAGTTAAAGGATATCACAAAGGCTGGAATGTTCCCTGTAAGATCTGTGTCTCCATTAAAATATAGATGTCATTGCAACAGACAGAATCCCAGAATTATTTAGGCTGGAAAAGTCTTCTGAGATGGAGTCCAAGCTGTGCCCAGTCCTCACCTTGTCCTCAGCCCAGAGCACAAGTGCAAATCCACTGATACTTTGGACACCCACAGGGATGGGCACTCCAACCCTCCCTGGGCAGTGCCAAGGCCTGAGCACCCTTTCCATGGGGAAATTCCTGCTGTGCCCACCCTAAGCCTCCCCTGGCCCAGCCTGAGGCCGTTCCCTCTGCTCCTGTCCCTGTTCCCTGGAGCACAGCCCGACCCCCCGGCTGTCCCCTCCTGGCAGGAGCTGTGCAGAGCCACAAGGGCCCCCTGAGCCTCCTTTGCTCCAAGCAAAATAGGATCTCATAATAGCACCCACCCGTGTATTTTTGACTGAATTATCAATTATATCCTGAATTAAAAAGCTGTTTGCTTTGTTTGTTCTGACCTTCACACTCAACATGCAAAAGTAGAACAAACCTCCAGTGGAAACACCATGAAATTTTTGGCTTTCCCTCAAGGATGAAGCAGCAACTGGAAATAAGTTGCTGGAATGAGAAAAGCATGAATTTCAGTCCTTTTAAACTCATGAAGTAGGAAGTGTGGCTTTCCTGCCTGCCTACATTCAGTGTAGGTACAACCACACGCTACCATAAAGCAGCACAGCCCTCCCTTCCCTAAAGGAATTCCACCTAGGGAAAGCCAACATTCAGCTCTGGAAGTGCCCATTTTTAAACTCGTTTCTGTAACCCAAATTCTTCAGAATTGAAGGATTATCTTGACTTTCAAAGAACAGACTTGGGCAGTTTAGAAATTGCTCCCGTGCTCGGAAATGAAAGCACCGAGGCTTCCTCAACATCTCTCATCTGCTCAGTATTCCATAACTTGATGATCACAGGGAACAAGCAGGAACTCTGCATCTACACTGCTCTTTTAAATCAAGCCAACCATCCCACAGGAATAGAGAGCTGCTGTAATTTAAGGGAATTCCTGATACTGGGGACAGGAGAAACTGGGAGGGAACTTACGATGGCGCGGACGCCGTACTGCTTTTCCACCTTGTCCTTCAGCTGCCTGAAACACGCCTCCATCCTCTCGTGGAACGGCCTCAGGGCCTCTGTCACCTTCTCCCCGTGGATCCGGATGCCTTCGGCCAGGAATGGGATCTGGAAAGCAGAATTTGGCTGCTCCACCCTGCCCAGCCCCTCCTGAGCCAAGGGACAAGGCAAGGCTGCCACAGCAGGGGAAGAGCTCGTGCAGTAATAATAATATTAGCAATAAGAGCAATAGTAATAGCAATATAACACTAATAATAATCATAACAATAATAACAACAACAATAATAAATTGCAACAACAATAATATTAAAAATTACAGTAATTATTATTATTATGATCACAGTGACCATCATCATTCCTTGTATATGATACCGGACAGGATCTAAACCCCTGTTCTCCAGGATTTCCTTTTTTTTCTGTTAAACCAAGTCCTTCACATTTAATTCAGCCCTAATTCTGCCCAGAAATCCCATACTGGATTTATCCCACAGCACAAACCCTCCTGTGATATTCCATTCCCAAGCCCCCACAGATTCTGTTTTTCAAAACACCAAACTGATGAATGATGAGTCTCACACCAGGTTATTAATATCAAAACCTTTCCCAGTGTCATGAGGATAAAACCCTGAAGATGAAAATAGTTTGTTTTCTTTAATAAATGCTCCTTCTAAAGCTGCAAATGAGCTCCATTCTTGGACAGATATATATTGCAGAGCAATATTTATTAATAAAACATACAGTTTTAGATGCTATATAGTTCTCCTTAGAAAAAGTATTTTATTTTCTCTGGGAAGAAAACAGAGGAGGGAAAAAATTAAATTAATTCTCTTTTGTGACTGAAAATAATCATTTATCTTCAAGGCTTCTGTCACAAAATATCCACGCCAGCTCAGGATTATATAATTAGTTCCTAGTGTGGAGGTGTAGCTGACCTTTGGAAATGTTTTAAGAGAGACATTTTCATTCCCACAGCTACCCAGACACACCATTAGAGTTTTCTACCTCCAGCTCAGGAAAAATATTTCCTCTTCCAGGTCCGTTTCAGCCCACACAGTGCTCTGATTCTAACTCAGATATTCTCTGCAGCAATCAAGCTGAGAGGCTTCTTCTTAATAATTCATAATTAAATCATAATACTGATTAAAAACAGATTTTTCTAATAAGACTGAGCAGCAATCAGAAGGAGCAGCTTTATTAGTAAGGAGAATAATAAATACACAGATGAATTACAGATGAACAAACGCGAGAAATCTTATCAAGATGATTCCCTGAGATTTGGCACTATGTAAATGGACAGAGGTGCTTCTCCTAAAAGACTACAAAGAGAAGAATAATGACTTTTTTTTTTTTTAATGTAGTGGCTTCTATTTATAAGCATATGGATTTGCACTTGACAAAAATTAAACATGAAACCATAAAGTTTTCCCTGCTCTCAATAAGAAAATTAATTTCTAAATTTCCACCATTACCAGGCCACACTGTGACCCTCATGTTTTGGAGGAATAAGTGGCCACTTGGCTCGTTTATTTTAAAGAATATTAGAAATGGATTAAAAAAAAACCCTGGAATTACCAATGTGAAGCATATGAGACCATTTTATGGGTAGAAAATGCACTGAAGAACCTGCCTGGGGATCAGCCACATCCAGGCTGGAAAATCAAGAACAGGAAGGAAATCACATCATTTGCAGGAAAAAAATGTGGGGGGAGGGAGAAGAAGAACAAGAACAAGGAGAACAAGAAGAAAAACAAGAACAAGAACAACATGAAGAAGAACAAGAACAAGAATGAGAAGTAGGAGGCCAAAGAGAAGGGGAAGAAGAAGGAAGAGAAGGAGAAGAAGGAGAAGATTGTTAATCTTTTACAGAAGCTGAAATCCATTAATGGCTTTGCCACAGAAGAACAAGGCTGCTGAGTCAGGATATTTGGCCTCCCTGTCCAAGACCACTTAATCCTTAAACATTTATCAAGTGCAGGAAGAACTTTCCAGCTGTGTTACCATTTCTGTTTCACCTCCTACCAACTTCCAAACTCCTCCTGTGTCTCCTTTCCAGACACAGGGAAACGTGCTGATGCCTGACATGGAATTTGACACCTGTCAGAGGCAGAATTTTGCCACATTCAGGATATTCCCAATTAATCTGGCCTTGCAGAAAATGCATTTTCTTATTTCATAACTCTGTTCTTGGCTGATTTTAAAGTTTTATAAAGTTCCACTGCAACTTGAAATTATTCCCCATTTGTTTCCCCTTTTTGTTTTTTATAAAATCTCGATCTGCTCGGCTGAAAAGACTGAAAAAAATGACATTGATTTGAATTATTAAACTAATCTTTGAAAACAATCTTTCAGAGCAAGGGGATCATAAAATATGAGCATAAAACCTGAGTTTGGTATGCAGCAGTTCTTTCATCTCTGTAGAAGGAGCACAAGGTTTTGATTTGCTGTGGTATTTTTCTGTTTTGCTGTGCTGTAAATACTTTAGCTAAATTCAGAGTGACTAATGTCATCAATCATTCATTTCTCTGCCTTAATTTCAATCAATCATTTCATTATCTTCATGTTAAAATGAAAGATCAGCTTGAAATGGTGCAGTTGCATGGGAACATTTTTTGCCTAAGTTGGAAAAGCACCAAAAAGGACAAAAATGGACATTGCTCTGCTAATGGAATTTATCTGAATTAATAAGAGACAGAAACAAAATGTACACTTGAAGTTCACAGGAATTATATGAATTATGAATTCCACAGCACAGTGGAGAAAGAGGTAAGGAGATGAAAAAAACTGAATTTAACTGGTCAGCTGATAATACAATTGTCAGGCTCCTATTTCATATACCCAGACTGATTTATGCAGCAGGGAGAAAATTCCATGTGATTACAGAACTCCAAGCCCCACATTACTGAAAAATGAAATCTCCTTTTTGGTTTCCACCCCTGTCAGCCCAGGATGAATTCAGCCCCTCCACAGGCTTCCATACACATCCCTCTCCCAATATTTGGGAGCTGACTCCCACCTGGCTGGAAACTGAAGTAATTTGAGAGCAATTTTAAATTTTAGGATCCCTTAAATGTGTATGAAATATCCAAGGCAATTTAAAAGCACTGAAAGGGCTTTTAGTGACTCTTATTTTCAGCTATAAAAATACATTTTGATCCCTTTTCTCTATTTTCCTGGTTCCTGTTGTTTTTGAAGTACAAAACTGATGGGAAATCATGTTTTTTAAAATCCCTGAATAATTACAATACAATGTGATCAGCTGCCATACCTATTTTCAAATTGTAATATTATTTTAATACACAAGTGTCACCAAAGTGAGCCTTTGCTGAGGGAAAGTGTGTTTGGAATTCATTTGAATTATCACTCTCAGAGGCAAAGACACAGAGCAGACACCAAGTCAGTCTCCTGGGACCAAATTATTTTCCTCTATAAAACTTAAAGCTTATAAAACCTAATCTTTTCTAAAAGCTCACAAGAAAATAAATTTAAAATGTCTTTTTTTTTTTTGTCAGACCAAAAGAGTTTTTTACTCACTGATAGTTTTAAGGCCTTCAGAGGATATTTTATTTTTGAATTCTGTATCTTTGGCTCTACTACCTCTAAGACTGAAATCTAAGGAGATGTAAATTATTCCCTTTATTATAAAGACAGAACTGAATATGAAAAGACAATGATCCACTTTCTTTTTCTGTGGGAAAAATAAAACAGTTCCAATCAACGTGGTATTTTTTTAGTTATCATAAAATTATATTGTGACCATAGAAAAATGTCCAGTATGTGACTATGGAGCAAAACTGGAATTGTCTCTTGTTTGCCCTGAAAAATATTTTATCATCTGATACAGATGGGAGATTGTCACTTACTGTGTTTACAAAAAAAAAAAAAAATAAAAGGAAGTATCTTGATCATATTTGTTCTCTGCAACTTTATCAAAATGAGCAATTATGTCAGATTTGAAAAGATGAACTTTAACTCAAGCTCCAAGACAGATTTAAATGGCAAAGAAATGTACCCAAGGTGAGGATAATATGTGAATTTCCTCCAAAGTGACACCAAGATGTCTTTCCACAGCAGCTGCCTCTGCCAAACCTGACTTCAAGTTTTTTACCTGCCAAGCAATCAGATCCTTCAGCTTCTCAATCTTGTCATGATCCTCTGGATGCTCGTGCATGTATTTTTCAGTAAAAAAAGCCTAATAGAGAGAGAGAGAAATGAGCCATTATTTCAGAAAATGAAACATCTACTACCAGAGGAATGAGCTACAAGGAAGATAAATCGATCAACTTTAAAATTCTGCAGAGTAACAGCTACAAACACAACGTGAAAATTGTGAAATCACAGAATCACAGTGATTTGGGTTGGAAAGGAGCTTAAACTCCACCCAGTGCCACCCCTACCATGGCAGGGACACCTTCCCCTGTCCCAAGTGCTCCAGCCCCAGTGTCCAGCCTGGCCTTGGGCACTGCCAGGGATCCAGGGGCAGCCACAGCTGCTCTGGGCACCCTGTGCCAGGGCCTGCCCCCCCTCACAGGGAACAATTCCTAATTCCCAATATCCCATCCAGCCATTCCATTTATCCTGTCCCTCCATGCCTTGTCCCCAGTCCCTCTCCAGCTCTCCTGGAGCCCATTCAGGCCCTGGAAGGCCACACTGAGGTCACCCCAAACTTCTCCTCTCCGGGTGAACAATCCCAGCTCTCCCAGCCTTTCCTCCCAGCAGAGCTGCTCCATCCCTGCTCTGGCCTCTCTCCACATCCTCCCTGTGCTGGGCTCAGCTGAGGCCCAGCAGGGCAGGGAATCCTGGTGGAATTCAGGGAATCCTGGCGGAATTCAGGGGAATCCTGGTGGAATTCAGGGAATCCTGGCGTTACCTTCTCGTAGTTGGCGAAGCCCCCCATGACAGCGGGGTCCACGATGCCGTTGAGCAGCATGGACAGGGGGTTGATGGGCAGGTTGGGGTCGTTCAGGTGCTGCTGCACCATGTTATTGATCTTGTCATTGGTCAGCTGCATGGTTTCGATGGCGTTTTCCAGAGGGCTGATCTCCACCTAAAACCCAAGCAAAAGGAGATTTCAAACCAGGGGCAGAGTTTTTAACCTGCTCAGCAAAACCCCACGGGCAGAAACGCTCCAGGCATTTCAGAACCGAGGTTTTTGGGAGATTTTTGACCAATAATTACCAGAAAGGGTGATTGAGGTATTTGGTATCTCTGTGCTGCAGTAACTGGTATGATGATGGTTATCAGTGCAGGAAGTTAACTGCATCTTGCTGCTGCAGGAGGGATTACATCCCAGCAGCATCCAGAAAGGCTCTGGCAGCAATCACGTGAGGTTTTTTGGAGGATTATGGAGAACATCAGAGATTAAGGGTTGGTGAGTTTTAGCAGCACAAAGAAGATCCAGCTTAACGTAACAGTAAGAAAGAAATGATAACTTTAACGTGGATTTTCTGATGGAAAATGTAATCCTAAGCCGCTCAAAAATCAGGAAGATATTTTTGCACTGATTATTTTGGTGTGTTTCCAAGGACATCGAGTTGAATATGTTGATGAGATGACATCTAAACTATCTGCTGTGCTTTTTCCCAAGAGGTCACATTTTCTTCACCTGACCATCAAGAACTGAAGGGAGAAATTTTCTTTCTACCTGGACTTCAATGAAGAGTCTTTTTAGATGACTTCACGGGGTGAATTAGCTCTTACGCTGTCTAAAACTTGCTTTATTTTAATTGCTGACCTCCAGCTACTTTTTATGCCCAGCTACCATGTCTTTCAAGAAGTTCATGTTGAAAAAAACAGTATTAAAATATTTTAAATATTAGTGAATGGGCTGAAAATCAGTAACTTGCAGTGACCCAGAGTGTAGAGAGTGCTCACTGGAAGCCACAGCCTGCTTGTATTAAAAAAAATGATGTGGTAGGGAGAGGAAAGGAAGGTTAATTGAGGCCTGTGAGGAAAATGCAAGTGTATATTTGATTACAGCCTCATTTACATAAATGCTCCATAAACAAAGCAGCACTTCTACCTGGCTATCAGTTGCTTACCCTGTTTCTGAGAACCACTTATAATCAAATCTCTTTAGTTGTTACTCTTACACCTGCCAGCTGATTACATCAAGGATGTTTTAATTAGCATTTTGAGCAGCCTGCCTGCTGAATGATTCTGGAAGGCAGAAGGAGCCTGGTGTCTCTGCTGGGAACAGGGAGCAGGCCAGGCTCGGACAGAGCCCAGCATGCCCCGGGGGAATCTGGACCGGGCAGTGAAGCCACATCCAGCATCTAACAGGCAAGAACTGCTGGGAGCATCACAGGCTAAATTTAGCATTCTGTCACTTGTATTAATGGCCTGATAACTATGCAATAATGTGTTGATGAACCATTGCTTTTAAAGCTCTTGAGCATCTCCAGAAATTAGCACTCATTGAGCTGACAGCTTTTTGACTTTTCTGTAGCAGCAATCATGGCTTTCTTTCTCATTCTCCTTTCTTTTACTACTCTTGTAACACTCCCTCTAATTTTTTTTAAAGCAGATGGAGAATTGCAGTTGCCATCTCACTACCACAAACTGGGCTTTGGATCGTGGAGAAAGCTATTTATGATAAGTGTAAATTCTGAGCCTTGTTCCCAGTGCCACTCTGGGCACTCCTCACTCCACCCAGGGAAAACAGGAATTACATTCTCCTGAGACATTTGCACCAGTACAAAATTCCAAGATAAAAACAAAACAGAGATTAGCACTTGTGCTTTTTAAACTCAAGTGTGATTCAAAATCTGATTTCTAATTCCCCGGCTGGTGTCTCTCCACTACAACTTCTTGTGCCCAGCTAAAGCAAATCAGATACAGAATAAGGAATGCTGGCCCCAAATTCCTTGCAGATAATGAACAGATTGCAAAGGTTTAGGTAAAAGTACTCAGAAGGAATTTGAAAAGCCAGTAGATTTAAAGCAACTCTGCATGTTCCTATGGGTTATATAACATAATACACTACATTTATGAAATTACTCCGTTCTCTCAGCACTGATTTGATGTAATCTCACCTCTCCCTTTAACGATATTCCAGTTCCATCAATAAAATATGAAACATGCAGAGCTGCTGGAGTATCCTGGTGCTTAGCAGGGGATCAATAATATCTGTATCCATAATCACAATTTAGCATTACAGGGATGTAAACCCTGTGATCCTCCTTGCAGCATTTTAGCTGACAGAGATCTTGAGGAAAGTCAATACCCATTTTGTAGGAACTGTGCCAGAGGAGGTCAGAAGTTATCTGTAGCAGTCTTCCCAGACGTTATTAAGTTCCATTCTGCTATCATTTCTCAGCTCTGCAGCTCATACAATCCTTGCTCCCAAAAGGCTGACGGGATTTGTGCCCATTTGGATGCCAGGCAGAGCAGGAGGGGTGAACACCAAGTGCCTGTCAGGCTCTGCTCTCTGCTCATCAGGCCTGGCATCAGATCTGCCAGCCTTTACAAACAGCACTTCTTGCCATCATGAAGATAAATACAATCTTCTCCATCAGGGTTATATTGAAACTACGAAATTCATTAAAAATTCAATGTGTTTTATTCAGCTGCCTGTTACTGTCACACATCACATTCATATTCTGTTACTATAGATACCACAGTAATTTTCTGCATTACTTCTGTTCATCCAAATACAACTGTCCAACATAACCTCAATGGAGCAATGAAAAAGGTTTTAATTAATCATATGCAAATTGTTCTTTTCCTTTAAAAATAAGCCTCACAAGAGAGATTTCAAAAATGCAGTAACAATGTTTTTATTGCTACTTAAAAATTACAGCTGCATAAGAATAATTTAATCTTAAAGGCGTTTAATGGATATGTCTTATCTAAACAGTCTAAATGGTTGAACAGAGAAATGAGTAATTTGGAGTTACTCTGTGAGGTTGCTGAGGGTATATTTAGCTAAATATGGAGAAGAAACAAAAACAACCTTTAACCACGAGTGGTAAGAAACACAGACATACAATGCCTTTGATTATTGGGATATTTTGAATTAGTGACAATCAAAATATCCAGATCCTCTTTGATAAAGTTCAGGCTAGATTCTCTGGGATGGAGCAGGGTTTCCCTGCACCACCTCAGGTCTCACTTTGTTCTAGGCACCTGCTGAGGGACACCAATGCTTTCTAAAAGGGCTGAGGATCTTGGAGGGCTGGCTGCATTCCCTTCCCTCAGGAATGGAAAAGCATTGCCTGAGTCACCCTCAGGCAGCAACCAGCACCCTCAGCAGGTTCCCTCAGGATGTGCCAGGTAAAATCCCACGGATTCCCTGCTCACAGATCTAAGCACAGCCACTGAGACACACAAAAGCTCCCTGGCTGTCTAAAAACCCCATTGTTTGACACAATCTCACTACAGCCAAGCTGCTCTTACCATGAAAACTGATTTGACTTCAAACCACCTGAGGATCCCTGGTAATTTATAGGCTGTCACGTAGATGGTTCTCTCAATCCACATGTTCTGCAAAGTGAACACAAGTGCCACGTTATCAATGGACAGCTGGGACCCCGAGCAAAGCCCTAAAACATCAGCAGCAGGACAAGGACCAAGGTATGGCAGATGTTACAGAGCCAGGGGGGAATTCCAAGTGCAAGATGGAGCAGCACTGATTTAAATCTGGTATGTGACTTAGCAGGGAACAACTGCTCCCTTTCTGAAGGAGAATACCATGGAAAGATCCCCTGGCTTTACTGGATGTTCACAGAATGGTTTGGGTTGGAAAGGACCTTAAAACCCATCCAGTTCCATGGGCAAGGACACCTTCCACTATCCCAGGCTGCTCCAAGCCCCATCCAACCTGGCCTTGGGCACTTCCAGGGATCTGCACAGCTGCCCTGGGCACCCTGTGCCAGGGCCTCCTCACAGCACTCATTTATTGATCATTAGATGAAACAACTGGTTTAAAAGAAAACAAAAAGAAAAAAAAAAAGCAAAAGGTATAAGTGACAAAAGATTTTCAGATGCCTGACTGGAATCTTTATGGCAAGACAAATTTCAGGTGTAACAATTTTAAATCCTTTCTCAGAAGAGCTGTTTTTACAAAGTAAATACAGCTTTGCCCATTTTTTTCCTATTGGTATAAACAAGAACATGATAAATTGGCTTAATTAACTTTCTATGAAAAATAATCCCTTTAAACCTAGAATTTATCCTTCAACAAGCAAAAGATAATGAATGAATGGCTCAGATGCTCAAAATAGAGGGGGAACCAAGCAAACCAGAAGTGGTTTATTTTCTTCATAATTTCTTACTGCAAATTCGTTGTCTGGGTTTTTCTCTCCTTTTCGAACAGGGCGTGAATACTCAAAACGTTGGACTTCATTCACCCTGTAGAAACTGAAAAGAGGGAAAAGAATCATGGAATCACAGAATGGATTGGGCTGGAAGTGACCTCAAAGATCATGCATTTCCAAGCCCCAAATGCACAATGAAAATCAAACGCTGTCTGTTTAGGAATGGATACTAAATTCTAATATTAGAGGAAGTTCGCCAACAAATATGGGATCACTATTTTCCAGTGGGTTGGAATGTGTGCCAATATTAAAAATCACCATTAAATGCCCTCACAATGCTCATGCCCTTGACTGTGCACAGATTCCTATTGCAATAATGTGCTATAAAGGGGACTGAGAAAACAACAAAACCAACCCAAACTCACCTCACGATTTGCTCTGACACTGGCCTGTGAAATTTCGAGGGTAAATCCAGCTTGGGCTTTACAGTGAAGCACTGAATATCTGAATTTCCGGGGTTAAGAAGTGAAAAGGGAATTTCAGTCACAGAGAGCAAACAGCTCAACAGGAACACACACACAAAAAATGAAAAACCAACAAAATCGGTGTGTTACACCCATTAGGGCAGAAGTGCAACAGGTTGGCCATAAATCCTTGATCTGAGCTGCTGGATGCACTGGTTGTACTGGTTCTACTGGGTGTACAGCCCAAGGATACACTGGCCAGAGGAGGATTTGATGTCATCGCCGGGGGGTGACGTTGTCTTCATCTTCTCGGCGTTGGGGAACTGCGTCAGCAGCCGCGCCTCGAAGTCCTCGCGGCGCTCGTACTCCTTGCCCCGGTAAATGAACACTTTGTTCTGCAAACACATGATGCCTCAAGTTTAGTTTTTATATTTTTCACATTCTGAGCTGCTTTAGTGGGTGGTCTGATTAGGGGATGGTGAGCTCTCTGCACAGAGCAGGGAGGCAAAACAATTCCTGTTCCAGCTGGGCACCAAGGACAAATGATCCAAATCTCAGCCCAAGAGCACAAACCCCGTGGGCTGAAGAGAGAAAAACAAGCAGGATGGGAGTGCAGGGGCTGAGCTGGAATTGGACACTGAACTGCAATGTGCACATGGAGCAGAGCTGATCCCAGGGAGAGACCCCGTGAGCGCTCGTGCATTTTGGGACCATTTGGGTTCATCTTGGGGGCAGCCCTGGCTGGGCTCTTGTGCTGCCCGAGGTGGATCCATGGACGAGATCCTTGGAATCAATCCCTGCTTTATTCTTTAGCTCTGTCCAGCCCCTGCTCTAGGTCAGCCTTCTCAAAGCATCACAGAGGCAACCACAGCTGGCACCAGCACCCCCAGAGCTAAAACCAGTGCTCCCAGTACAGAACTGGGGCCTCAGAAGCGCTGACACCAATGCTGTTAGCACTTCTCAGTACAAGAGGAATTTCACTCTCCTCATGCTGTGTTGTAATCAATACTTCATCAATATTTTTTTCTCACCTCCAATTCCATCCTGAGATCATTAAGCCCATGTTTACCTTTAGGTATTTTTTTAAGCCACACAAAAATCACATCAAAACATGATTTCAAGGATCTGTAACACTGGTGGCCATTGAAAATATATTAAGACAAATAATTACCAAATCCAAGATGTCTCCTCCACCTTCCACAACTAATGATGGAATGGATGTCAATCAATAAACTGAATTAGGTTTTTTATACATAAACATTTATTCAAAGGCACTCAAGTGAGCAAAAAAGAGTAACAGAGAAAAACAAAAACATAACGCAGATATAAGGAAGAACATCCAAAAATACTGACTCATAAAAAGACTCACGTTAATGTATGAGATTTTTGCCATTATAAACTTAAACCTTTTTATAACTTTAAAATTAAGCTTATTGTATTTCTAAGCATTTGTTTCTTCTTTGCCAATAAAGAAAATGAAGTGATATTTTATACAGCCCATTTACATGCTGAGTTCATTAAATTCTAAAGGAAAATGTAAAAGACAACTTGCATATTTTTAACTGATCAAACATATTAAAGCAAGTTTGGATAAAATTTGCATCTGAATATGCTTAACCTCATTACTTGTCTAAAAGTGAATAGTTGGTGAAAAAATTATACAGCACTTATTAAAAAAGGATGTTTTGACTGGGGGTAGGAACCTGGAGTTGTTCACATTTGCCCAGCTGGGTTTAGTTCTGCAGTGGTGCCCTTTGAAAAGCTCAGTAGGGGAAAGAAAGGTAATAATAGATGGCTCTGTATAACTGTAATTTATGTATATACATTTGTAATTCACAGGGAATGTTGGAATAGAGGGAGAAGTGAGGATTTTCTCCAGCAGCAGGGCACTCAACAGCCTGGTTTTCAGAGGGAAAATGGGAAGGAATTCATTCCTCTGAGGGTGGTGAGGCCCCAGTACAGGATGCCCAGGGAAGTTAACGAAATAATAATGGGTTATTTCTGTGTCACCGACTGCCAAGTGCCAGAGAATCATAATACAGATGCAATTCAGACTGTTATCGTCCCACTTTTCTTTAGCCACTAATTCAACCCACAAAAATCCTAATATTAGTGAAAAAAACCCCTTAAAATGTCACTAAAGCTATGATCCTGGCATCAACCGAGTGACACATCTTAAATTGGCACATGAGACACACAAATCAATGATAAAAATTCCTATTAAAGGTGTCACACACACCTTTGACAGTCAACTTCATTTTAGCGACAATGCTGGAAAGGACACTCACCTGAAAACATGGTCATGTACAAAATGATTCTCTGCCATGCTCAAATATATATTTATTATATATATATAAATATATATTAACCTGCCAGGCAAAAATGTCACCATTTCAGATGGTTATGACCCTGAGTGATGGATTGGGTCATTTATCTTCATTTCTAGTGATACCCTGAAGTAATAGAAAGTACTGAATACGTTTGAAGAGAAAGTTTTTCTACTAAAATTCAACTATTCCATCTTAGAAACCAGAAAGGAAAAACCAGTGTTTGTTTTGTACACCTAAAAAAACACCTGTCAGTGTTAGGCAGGTTTCTCCAAGCCAAGGGAAATTTCCAGAGCAAGAAAAGTCTCTGGAAACAGGTGACACTTACCCTTATGAATGTTGGGAATCCCTGGCCATAGTATCCAACAGCAAAATAATCTGGTTTTGGTCGTATCACCTTCACAATGTTTTCATAGAACTGGGCTTGTTTTCTCTGCAAAATAAACAGGAGGGATTTGAATGACCTGAGCTTTTAGGAGATTCCTTACACTTAAGATCTTGTATGCATCTCTAAATTAAAGATGTTTCATTCCCCTGTTTTTCCTCACCTTTATATCAGACTCATGGCAATATTTGGAAATACCAGACTCTGTAGCCATGATTTTTCTACTCACTACAGTGAATCTGACTGTTCCCTAACGAATATCTCAATTTTGATGAATTTCACCTTATCATGGCAAACCTCACTGCTCCATATCCAATATCTCAATTTTGATGGACCTCATCTTGGTGGACTTCATTGTTCCATATCCAATATCTCAATTTGGATGAACTTCATCATTGTGAACCTCGTTGTTCCATACCAATATCTCAATCTGGATGAACTTCATCACTGTGAACCTTACCATTTCAAGTCCAGTATCTCAATTTTGATGGACCTCATCTTGGTGGACTTCACTGACTCACATCCAATATTTCACTGGCAGTGAAGGTCAGGAATTTGCAAGGCAATCTGAAATTCCAGTTGTGACACTTCTGACACCGAAACACCGGAAGGATGAAGCCGCACACAGCTCATCCCAATGGTGCTGACTTGTCAGTTTTGAACTCTTACATCTCATTACATTTTTCTACTACTTCTCTTCCATATTTACAACCATGAATTTGCATATGGAAAGCAGGCAGTTGAGAACTGCAGGAAAATGTAAATGTTGGAATAAACACACGCATGTCAGACGCCATCTGCTTTCGACGCCGAGTTCTTCTTTATCTCTAATGATGAAATAATAGCAAATGAGCAGCTTCGGAAGATCTGCTCATTAACTTATGTTTAGTCTATTATTTCTGCAAAGAGAATGACTTTTGATCTGGGGGAGGTTTAGTGCTGCTCCCACATAACAGATAACAGGAAATGGCAAAAAGACTACAAAGACCCAGATCTGCCGAGTATTTCTCAGCTCGTCTGGAGCAAAACTATTCTGTCATTTGTGAATTGTCTTAGAGGCTAATATTTAATATTGCTTGAAGAAAAGAGACAAGAGAGATAATAGAAAGAACAAAAAACTTATAAATTTAATTGCGGGAGAAAAAAAAAAGAGCTGTTCAGCAGCAGCAATAAGAAAAGCTGATGGGGTATTTGAGACCTGACTCATACGGGAGAGTGAATTTTGATCTCTGTCTTGTGAGGGAAATGCACACCAGGACTAATTCTGTGACATCTCATCTCTTGGCTGATGAGCAGATAAACTCAATTGTCTGATGTGAAGTTCTGGGTCTCCTTTCTTAGAAGAGGGAGAAACTCCATGGAAATATCCAAGGACAGGTTGGACAGGGCTTGGAGCAACCTGGGACAGTGGAAGGCGTCCCTGCCCATGGCAAAAAGTGGAACTGGATGAGTTTTAAGGTCCTCCCATCCCAAATCACTCCATCACTCTGTGATCACTGGCTACAATCAATAAAGTGCAAATTCCAACTTCTCCTTCAAAATGGATCCAGTAGAGTAATCAAAGAGTGGCTGCCTCTGTGACAAACCCGTTCACGTTCCCATGCGCAAGCAAAAAGGAGATGGAAAATTAAAACTGAGGGACTCAGAGAGTAGCCACCCCCTGGTGAAAAATCACCTCAGACAACCATTTCTAGCTGAGGAACAATCCTACCCAATTCCTTTTATGCTGAAATGAAGAACATTCTGTGCCCACCCCACCAGGAGCAGTGGGCTGGGGCTGTGTGGAGCTGAGTTCAGCACCACAGGACACAGGACAGCACCAGCTCAGACACATTGGGATAAAGAAAACAGATAAATAATTCAAAGAAATTGTTGAAAATGTACTCTGAGTGCAAAAGCAAAAGGGATCAAAAACTTTAGAGTCGAGAATTTTCAGAAACAAACTGGAATCATATCCCAGCTCCTGTGGAAATGGTTGGGGACCCGAGGAGGGACAGTGACAGCTGCCATTTATCTCTTTGGAAGAGAACAGGAGGAAAAAAATGGTGCAGGAATAATGAATGGGTAACGTCAGGGCAAAAATAACTGACTGGAGACATGAATGCTTGGGGATTATTCATACCTAAAAAAAGAAATGTGAATATAGAAAGACACTTGAGAGAGAATGGGAATTTTTTTCATGTCCCCATTTATATTTAAATTCAAAATTTCCTTTTATACCCCAAATAAATCAGCTTAGCATTACCAAAATGTTTTTCTTTCAGCTAAAAAAAAAAAATTCAATGTTTTTCAGACAATCCAGTGGTAGCCAGTTAATTGACACTGGTCCAACAAAACCATGATGGGTATTTGTTTCTGAATTTTACTGTCATTGCTATAGTATTTTTATATAGTTTTAAAAGCTTAGAAATTCAACTCTGAAATAAACTATTGCAGTGTCTGTGTCATTAAAAAAACCTACCAGCAGTTCACTGAGTTGTTCATAATCAAACATTTCATTTTCATACTGTTCTGCAAGTTCTTTACCCAAGGCAATGGCCTCTTCCCACATCTGTTGGAAAAAAAAAATCACAAAACAACAAAAAGAAGCTGAATTACATACCTTGGTTAAACATCAACATCAGAATCAAATAAATCTGAATAAAGCAACCAAATGAATTTTGTCACATGCCTGAAAACACTGAGCATCTGATGTGCCAAAGAGCTGTGCTGGGCTTATGAATGTCTCTATTAATGGAATCATGGAATTGTTGAGGCTGGAAAAGCCCTCCAAGTTCACTGAGTTCAACCATTCCCAGCACTGCCAAGGCCACCACTGCCCCTTGTCCCCAAGTGCCACATCCACATGGATTTTAAATCCCTCCAGGGATGGAGACTCCAGCACTGCCCTGGGCAGCTGTGCCAGGCCTGGACAAACCTTTCTATGAAGGAATTTTCCCAAATACCCACCCTGAGCTGCCCTGGCCCAGCCTGAGGCCGTTCCCTCTGCTCCTGTCCCTGTTCCCTGGAGCACAGCCCGACCCCCCGGCTGTCCCCTCCTGGCAGGAGCTGTGCAGAGCCACAAGGTCCCCCCTGAGCCTCCTGTGCTCCAGGCTGAGCCCCTTCCCAGCTCCCTCAGGAATTCTCCAGCCCCTCCTGAGGCTCTGATCCCTTCCCTGGACACACTCCAGCCCCCAATGACTTTTTTATCATTGAGGGGACCAAAATTTGACATGGGATTGGAGATGTCTCAGCAGTGCCAGTACAGAGGGACAATCCCTGCCCTGGTCCTGCTCCACACCATTTTAAACACAACCCAGGTGCCATCAGCCTTCTTGGCTTGGTGGCACTCAAGGTGATCTGCTCCATGACCTGCCCTGGCACAGGATGCAAATTTACTGGATCCAAATCAAGTCAAATGATCAAAGAGCTTCAGATATGAAATGATTCCTTCCAGCCCACCCAGTAATGTGTAAACACAGCCTGTCCTCGAAGAAACCCAGGACCTAAGGCTTTGGAGTAAGGCTGGTGATTGATTATATTTCATAATCACCTCTTTCTCCCTCTAATATCTGTAATCTGTATTAGACAGGACAGGCAATTTGCAGATATTGCTTTGAACAAATACTCATTATATTTCCATTGGTTCTTCTTCTTCTCGTTCCTCAACCATGAAATTCAGCAGCCGTCTCAAGTGACCCAAAGAAATTTAACAATATCCTTCAGCTCCTCAGAAGGCAACAATCTTAATGAGGAGCAGCAAGAATGGTTTTAAATGTGCATTTTTCATTTGTTTTTTCCACTCCAAAGATAAAGAACCACTCAAACCCAAAAATATGCTTAAATTAGCACACCAGGCTATCTAAGATCAAACTTGATGATCTACCTCTGCTGCTGAAATTTGGTTGGCATTGCTGACCTCACTTTATTATAAAAATGAGTTTCAGAATAAGTTAGAAATGCAGATTTTATCAGCCTGCATCTTAAATTTAAATCCTCTGGCCACACCACCTCATTCTCCTCTCAGCATCAGGCCACACGTTCCTCGCCCTCGTGGAATCCTGAGGGGATGTAGCAGCCAAGAGCAGGTGGATGGAGGAGGGCTGAGGGGAAGGGCTGAACACACAATTCCCCATTTTTCCCCAAAAATATCCACTTTTAGGGACAGGGAGTTTGGGATGAAGCACCACAAGTTCCAAAGATGGTGGGAGGTGGATGCTGGGGAGAGAAGAGGAAATGTGACCTGGGGAAACCTTCACAACAACTGATCCCTGTATCCATCCCATAAAAATCCCTCAATCCCACCATCTTCAAAACACAGTGCAAATAGGAGATATTTTACACCCCAAACCCCAAAAGCTCCCCAAACCACACAAATTAAATTCCACACTCAAAGCCCCAAAATCAGTGCCAGGTGAATTCTATTTGTCTATTGATCTGCAAGGTGAAACTGCAGTTCTTAGTATATCTGGAAAACTTGGGGAAAATAAGACTTTTAGAAAAATTCTTGGTTCTAGACGCTGATGTGAAAAATAAGAATAAAACATTGAGGATGAATCCTCAGCAAGCCTTCACGTGGAACATGCCAATGTCACAAAAAGCAAGATGGGCCCCATTGGTTCACTCGCCATCCCTGCTCCTCTCTGGAGAAAAGGAGCCAATTTTCAACGAGAGGGATGGACTGAAAGGTTATCCTGGCAAACTGAGTGGGAATGGCTGGAAAACAGCAGCCTGGAGAAGCAGGGAGCTGCTGATGGGGCAGGAGATGAGCAAAAGCAGAGGGAAAAAACATGGGAGATCACATGGAGAATGGAGAGAGATTTCTGCCCTCCAAGTAAAGACAAAATAAGGGCTAAAATCTGCACTGTGGGGCTGAGCAAGGGGAAAGGAACTTCTGAGTCCTGCAAAAACCATATGGGGTGATGTCTGGACAAAGTGGTGACCTAATTTAAGATAAAAAAAGCCACAAATGCTCACAAGGAGCAGAATCTGGTTCTTCATTAACCTTTCCTTGCAGCTCCTCGTGATATTCGACCCCTCCTCTTGATTTTACTTATTTCTCCAACAAGGTTCAGAATGTTATTTATCTAGGGAAGAGGACTGGAATGAGCATGAGCATGAGTTGCCTCATGTTTGTAAAGTGCCTTGAAGGTGAAAAACGCATCAGAAGGACTAATTACAATCACGGTAATGAGGGATCACGTCTGCAGGAAATTACAAGGCAGCCTGAACGCTCTGCAACGCAATTTTTGCAAATGGAAGGATCTGAATGTTTTTATCCATATTATGGATCTAATCTAGCATGATGATACAGAGCATGTTTTTATTTTTAAACAAAAATTAACATGAATTTAAGAGTAAAGGCACAGTTGCAGAAGAAGGGGGACATTTTCACACACCAAAATGAGTTAATTTTGATTCAGAAGGGCAATACAGCACCAATTTATAGAACTGAACTAATATTCAGGTGTTTGTTAAGTCAGCAAGTGAAAGCTTTCAAAATCACTTAACCTTCCCTCATTTTGAGTGCCATTTTCTTCTGAACTTCAGTCATCCATAACTTGTGCATATTTTCATTTCAAAGACAACGGTGTGACCATCACCTCCCTTGTCCTGCTTCCCTGTTTGTGTGTTCCAGATTTAACCAGTCCCTCTCCAAAATTAGACTGGAAATAAACTGAAGCGTAAATCACTTTTGATTTGCATCAACACTGCACACAAACTCCTTTGGTTCTTCCCACTGACTCCTGCGTGAGCAGAGATGTGTTCCCAAACCAGGTCTGGGAATGCAAAAGGTGGGTGGGTTTAGATGGGATATTGGGAGGAAATCCTTCCCTGTGAGGGTGGGCAGGCCCTGGCACAGGGTGCCCAGAGAAGCTGTGGCTGCCCCTGGATCCCTGGAAGTGCCCCAGGCCAGGCTGGAGGAACCTGGGAGAGCTGACAGATGTCCTTGCTTGTGACGGGGTGGGACCAAGTGACCTTTAAAGGTCCTTCCCAACCCAAATTCTGAAAGCCGACACACTCTGCCTACACACCACTGCCTATAGGTACCACAGCACTGTGCTGATTAAATAACAACTTAAGCAGAATTAAATCTCCTTTGATTTTTTTTATTCACCTTCCCACCCTTGCCTGTCAGCACCATAAACACACTGGAGCAGAGGCTGCTTCCACTGCACCTCCTCTAGCCTGAACAAAGCCTTTAGATGTTACTGAATATTAATATTAATAATGGATTCTGTAAATGTTCCAGAGCCTGAAAAATGAATCCTCAAATTAACTGTGATCCAGATTTAGTTCATGTGCAAGAGACAATAATCACATAATCCTTGCGTTCTTCCTAGCAAGGAAGTGGAGATGAACAGGAGAAAACCAGACCATGGATCCACAACAGAATGATTTGGGTTAAAGATCATCTCATTCCACCCCTGCCATGGCAGGGACACCTTCCCCTGTCCCAGGTGCTCCCAGCCCCAGTGTCCAGCCTGGCCTTGGGCACTGCCAGGGATCCAGGGGCAGCCACAGCTGCTCTGGGCACCCTGTGCCAGGGCCTGCCCACCCTGCCAGGGAACAATTCCCAATTCCCAATCTCCCATCCAGACCAGCCCTATGGCAGTGGGAGCCATTCCCTGTGTCCTGTCCCTCCATCCCTTGTCCCCAGTCCCTCTCCAGCTCTCCTGGAGCCCCTTCAGGCCCTGGCAGGGCTCTGAGCTCTCCCTGGAGCTGCTCCTCTCCAGGTTAAACAATTCCAGCCCTCCCAGCAGAGCAGCTTCAATTAGAACATTTTTTTCTGGCTAAAATTACTGGCATTCCTTTAAAGTTTCTGTAAAAGTCAGTTTACAAGTTCTCCTGCTGATATGGTGTCACGTTATCTTTAATGGAACACCTTCAGGAGTGTACTGAAAATCCATCATACTGCAAGTACACAGTAAAAAAGGGAGAAAGTGGAGAAGATTCCATTTTTGCCAGTCTAACTTTGTCCCTCTCCAGCCAATATGTCTGTCTAAGAAAAAAGCACCCATGTTTTGTTTCTACTGCCTCTTAAAAACCTCACTGTGCTCCAACATCTCTGTTTGGAATTCCCAAGTGTCCAGTTGTTCCCTCAGAGGAACAAAGAGAACTCGGATTATGGAACTCAATTTCTTGAGTGGAGAGAGCCCTGAGCTCCAGAGGCACAGGAGTCCATAGAATCACTAAGGCTGGAAAAGACTTCTGAGATCATCAACCATCACCTTGTTAAACAACAAATCCTGTCCTCAGCTGTCAAATCCATACATTTTTTGAACAATTTTAGGGATGGGGACTGCACCACTGCCCTGGGCAGGCTGTCCCTCTGATTGTCAACATGAAGAAACTTTTCCTAACATCCAACCTAAACTTTGTTTGGTGCAACCTGAGGCTATTTCCTGAACTACCTGGCTGTTCCCTTGTGCAGCTGCACCACAACACCTCCAACATCACAGAAAACCCACCTAAAACTGGAGATTTTCCCACCATTTTCAAAGAAACAGGGACCGAGTGTCTCACATCCCCTGCACAACCCTCTGAAAAGTTCAGCTGTTTGCTCCAGAGCCAATTTATTCAGGTGAGGACAGCACGGCTGTGGCCCAGGATCCTGATAAATGAAATCTATATTCTTGAAGGTCAATAACTCCCAATCTGCTGCCTCGCAGATTTCCTGCCTTGGAAGCTTTCCCAGCTTTGCCCAGGACATGGCAAGTCTTCTGGAGAAATGAGTTGTACAGGGAGCTCCTACACAGGATTTGTATGAGGTACAACTCGTTAACGGGAGAAACAATTTATCTGGAGAGGGTACCAGGGAGAGAGGCAGCTGATACTGGGAGGAAAACGCTTCTTTTGTACTTGGGGGGGAAGAAAAATGTGCAGAGCCTAAATTCAGCTGTGTAGACACAAGGTGCAAATTGTCATGGGCAAGACTTTGCAGATGCAGGAGATCTGTTTTAGGGAAAACCCAGAGATTTAATTTCTTTTTCAAGCTGGATTGCTTGTTGGCCAGAAAGAACTACAGCATCCAATTTAGTTTTTGAGGTTAATAGCAGCAAAGGAGGATCTCAGGGTATTTCTGGGCTCCTGCAGAGTTAATGGTCAGGAGCAGTGAAATAGTCTGGGATAAGAATATTATGGTGCCATGTTCTGATGTGTGAGGGACTTTCTAAGCTGGTTAAATTTCAGGTAGTGTTAATTAACCAGCATGAAGGCTTAATATTTTAAATAAAATGCTAAAACTCAGCACTTCTCTATTGTTAGCACTGCATTCAAGATACAGCCAGGTTGGAAACTCTTTAAATAAATAAATATATTCATTGGAACATGGTCAGACTCTGTATCCTCCCTCTCCCCAGACTCTCTGTCCTTCCCAGCTCTCAGGACAGCTCTGGGGCTGAGCTGGCCACGAGCCTCACAGATTTTTGGCAGACAGGTGAATTTCACCACTCACTTGTTAAGATGGAAGAAAAAGCCATTTGATGTCATCCCATGAGCCAGAAAAAAAGGCCTTTTAAGCCAAAGCATGGCATTTGCTGTATAATTTCAGATATTTTCTGTTCTGTGGCTGCTGTAAAGCAGTAAAAGCTTTTTTTTGGAGGAGGAGGGAAGAAAGGAGGAGCAGAAATAAATGAGTAGCGTGCATTTGTTTAGTTTTTTTCTCCTCAGGACCAACACTTTCAATTTATGGAGGAGCAGAGGCAAACCTGTCCTGATTTATGAGCAGCAGCAAACCTGAGCCTGTGGCTGGTCCCACATTTCAGCAGGCAGGAACAGGAATGTTGCTGCTTCCCTTGTGGCTCCACAAAAAAACCTGGTTTAAAACAACATTTTATTCCATTCCTTGGATTCAGGAGCTCATCAGCATTGATTTCCATCAGCTCCTTTTCACAGGAAAAATGTCACCCCTTCCCCCATGCCTTTAGTCCCACCACTATTTCCCTTCTCACCTTGGGACATTCTAACCCAAGAATTTCCAGCAAAGTCCCTGCATTAAGGGCTTTGTGGGAAATGACAAAGCTTCAGGAAAGCACAGAGAGAGCAAACACTTGAGAGCAGTTCAAAGGATGGGTCAGACTGCTGGGTCAAGCCTGAGGATCAGGAATTTAAGGGCAAAAGCCAAGAGAGATGGAGAGGAGACTGGAAAGTGCAGTGCAGCGAAGAAGAATGATCTAGGAGAGAAAAGGATCCCTATGCCAGGGAAACAACTTTCCTTTTGGAAAGAAGGAGATTAGCAAAGGAATGAAGAGCATAACTAATCAGGAATCTAATCCATAAAGTAGAACAACTGCAAAATGCAAAAGTTGTTTCTGAGAAATGCTCCTTCCCTAAAGGTGAAAGTTGCATTGCAGCTTTATAAAGGGTTGGTTAAAGGATCAAAAGTCAAATACAGGTAAAAAAACAAACTTCCTAAGAATAACAGATTAAAAATAGAAATCAAAATGAGGAACCCTGAATGGATCTTGAACTGCAAGTATCCCTGAGGGCCAGGATTTTGTTCTCAGCCCACATGAGGTGCCACATTCCTGCCTTCAGGGCAAGACCACGTTCCCTCTTCCTCACTTACAAATTTCTCAGGCACTTCTGGGCCAGAAGTGAAGGGCTCACTCCATTTCAGCCTGTGTGTGGAGGATTAAATCTAAATTCACCTGCCCATGAATGCCAATATTTAAGGGATAAGCCTCATGGCTGGCTTTCAATAGACAAGAAAACTGTGAATTCCCCTGGGAAATTACTCTGCCAAGAGAAAGGGATCCTGATTTTTGAGAGGCTGAACTACATCACCCTTTAAAAAACAAAAAGCCAATGGTTTAAACCCCATTTCAGGAAATCCCTCTGCTCCATTTCCTCTACACAATGTTTCTAAGTCCCACATCTCCCTCCCTTCCCAAACCCACAGCTTGCCATCAGGCAGGTTGGGGTGGGAGAGGCACAGGCTCACAACTGGAAAACAAAACTCCTGAGCTTCTGGAAAAGCCTGGAAGTGCCTGCACAGCTGCCCAGTGCTGGTGACCTCCTTCTGACACCTCTTGTTCACCTAATGGGAAGGGAAATCAAACAAGGGATCTGGAGTGAGCTGCCAGGCAGGGACCCAGCTGGGTGATAGTGGCAAAAAAAAAAGCAAAAATTGGTTCAGTGTCCCAAAAATGCAGAGCAAAGGCTGTTTCAGGTGTGTTACTGATCATGGAGAGCTGAAGCTGGGCTACATTTGCAAACTGCTCAAGGAATGCAAGAATTTGATTTAACTTAATGTCAGAACATCCCAAATGAGAGGATTACCTTCCATCTACACTGGAAACCTCCACTTGGAGTTTCCTGACATTTGCAAAATCACACAAGATGAATATTCTCAGTGTATATTGATTTTTTAATTTCCCTTTTCATGGAGTAATGTGAAAAAATATCACCGGCTTGAGTGACCAGAAAATGTGAGGAGGAATATCTGTAAGTAGGAAAGAGCAGTTTGGAAATAAATCATCTCCTCACACACAAAAAAACCACACAGGAGTCCTGGTACTTGAGTTCTGCACAGAACTGGTGCTCAGCAGAACAATTCCCAGTGCCTGGACAACAGAAAGGACCAACAGAAAGCCATAAAGACAAACAAAATAAAACCAACAAAATAAAATAAAACCAAATAAAACCAAAAAAAATAAAACCAGGCAACTCCTGGTTTTCCTTCCAGACAGGAATGTTAGATTAAAATAAGCTTTAAAATCAGCTGTGGCCCCCATTCAAATGAGATTCTTCTCATTCACACAGGGAAAGCTTTTTGGGCAGCAGGAACTGTCCCCAGGTCACCTCCAGCAGCCCCAGCCCCAAACAGCCACTTGTGCATCACTCCAGAATTATACTTTTTACAACTTTCGTCCCAGCCCAGAATTACAATTTTTAACACAATCTAGAATTGCGACTTTTAGCATCACCCATTAACAACTTTTAAGTATTGCATTAAGATAAGTTATAAAATTTGACTTTTTAAGCAACACTTCTGACAAAATTATAGAAATGAGAGTCCCTATCAAATTTATTCCAGGATTTTAATCTGATTCTGCAAAAAACTCACCTGGAAAAGATGGGCTGGCTGGATAATATTCTAATTCTACCAGAAAACACCACTTCTGTTTACTTCTAAACCCCAAGTTTACACTTCTGAAATGTTCTGACAAAGAGATTCCTACTTCTATACTGGAATATTTCGTGCCTGAAATATCCAAACACTGATCCATCCCTGTCTGCCACATTAACCCCCTTCCTCTCCAACACCAAGCAATGCCAAATGCAATTTCCTTCTGCATTAAAAGATGCAATTGCAATGAATATCCTCATCTCAGGATATTTATGATAGCAACCACAGACATCCAGGCCCTGAGGGAATTAGTTTTGTGTACATGAGGAAAAACAAGGGGAGCTGAAGGATTCTCTTAGCTCTTGTAACTGCCAGAAAAAGTCCTCCAAATTACATGCATCACTTTTTTATTTACTCCATGGCATCATATGCCCATATATTTACCATTAAGAGATGAGTTATAAATGTACCATTGATTTCTTTTGACTTTTTTTTTTGTAATATCATTATCTGTAAGTGCTTCCTGAAGGTCACTGGATGCAAACTATGTTTACTATTAAATTTATAAGTTTGAGAGAAAAGCAATGAAATACATTTGCACTTTTTTTCTTCCCTTTTTACCTTGCCCTTGTCAAAGTAATGGATAATTTCTTGATAGAGCTGATCTTTCAGCTGTCCTTGAGTAGCAGCTTGGTATCCATCCCGCTGGGTAAGATGTGCTGCACATGCTTCTTCTGACCACTAAATCATAAAAAAAAGGGGAAAAGTGAAAGCAAATCCAAAGCTGTGAGTTCTGAAGTGAAATAAAAGAGAGGGGTTTTATTTAAAGGAGTGGTACTGCAGTTAATGCACCAACAAAGGGCTTTTTCACAGCTGTGCCCTTTGCTTCCTTGGGCACAAGGAACATTTGTTTGGATGCTGTAATTGGAGGCTAATTACATCCATCAGCTGGAAGGGAGCTTCTGGAGGTGGCTTCCTCTCCTCGGTGGGTTTGATGAGGGTGACCTTGGCCTGCTGGGGACACAATGAACACTTCCTTTGTGTGGGAGAAACCCTGGAACCCAGGTCCATCAACACAAAGGTGATACCTGAGGTTTAGCTTTTCTATTTTTCAGATTCTGAGCTGCTTCAGTGTGTGGGTCTGGGTTCACATGAGGGGATGGTGAGCTCTGTGCACAGAGCAGGGAGACAAAACAATTCCTGCTCCAGCTGGGCACCAAGGACAAATGATCCAAACCTCAGCCCAGGAGCACAAACCCCGTGGGCTGGAGAGAGAAAAACAAGCAGGATGGGAGTGCAGGGGCTGAGCTGGAATTCGACCCTGAACTGCAATGTGCACATGGAGCAGAGCTGATCCCAGGGAGAGACCCCGTGAGCGCTCCTGCATTTTGGGACCATTTGGGTTCATCCTGGGTGCAGCCCTGGCTGGGCTCTTGTGCTGCCCAAGGTGGATCCATGGAGGAGATCCTTGGAATCCATCCCTGCTTTATTCTTTAGCTCTGTCCAGCCTCTGCTCTAGGGCAGCCTGCACAAGGCATCATTGGGAAGGGCTGCAGGCAGGAAAATGGGATGGCTCCAACTGCACTGAGGATCTCTGGAGGCAGGGAAAGCATAATTAACTTTATCCAGCCTGTCTGCAATCAGCAGCTCTGGCTCTTCCAGCAAATGCCTGATGGATCAAGGGAAAGGTGTCAATCATAGGTATCATGGAATGGTTTGGATTGGTGAGGAACCTAAAGCTCCCATCCCATCCCACCTCTGCCATGGGCAGGGGCATCTTCCACCCTCCCAGGCTGCTCCAAACCCCATCCCACCTGGCCTTGGACATTTCCAGGGATCCAGGGGCAGCAACAGCTTCTCTAAGCAGCTCCCAGATTCATCTGCAGAATTACTGATACTTTTCCTGCTATATATTATTAAATTTCACCCAATCACTTCTTGATTTGGCCAAAATGTTTGTGTTTGGGTCATGCAGACACCTCTGACAGCTCTGTTCTGAACTCTGTTTCTGATCAACACAAGCCTGCTGGAGCCTGCAATGTGATGGAATTTTTTTCAGCATGCTAAGAGCTGCTATCTTCTGTTAGTTTTGAACACCTCAATTTTGACAAAAAGGGTTGAAAACACAAAAAAAAAGTCTCTTTCCTTGAGTGTGCTTCATCAGCTTGCAGTAATTTGGCCTCTCTCCCTCCACAGACAGAGCCTTCTTGCAGATTTAAAGGTGAAATTCTCACCCACTCTCAGCCTTGCCCTCGATGTGATCCCATTAAAATCACTGGGATGAAGTATCTGCCCGTGATGAGTGTCATTGAAAATCCTGTCCTGAGGCCTGACAGAAAAACTCAATTGCTCAGTTACACACCCCCAGTATTGCTGCTCCTCAGGCAGCACTGAACTCCTCCCTCCACTCAGGGCTGCAGGGGCAGGGACTGAGGTAGAGACTGACACACTTTGATAATAAAGCAATTCCAGCCTCTCATGAAATTATACTTACAAACAAACATCCACTCAGGGATGAAAACCTGTGACAAATTCTTCCTTGGCATTTGCTATCGATTTGCATTAGAAGGAAAGAAAAATGGACATTTCTTCCCATGGAATTCTTCCACTGAATTCAGAGGAGCACATTAAGAGAGGCACTCACCTGTTCTCTGAACACATCCCCTAAGAAAAGCCACAACTGGCTAAACTCCAGTTTGAGGCCACAGGAAGTAAATTGTCTAACAAGTCCAAGCCATGCCAGGTGAAGTTTGAGTGAGGTTTTATGGCATGGTTTATTCCATCATTTAGTCAGGAAGACATGGAAGGGAACGAATCCTTCATCCTGTCTAAAAGGTTCATCCATGTGAAGTGGGCACAGTGCTTTTGCACTCCAGATGAATCTTTGAGATGTTTCCTTGTGTAATAACCCTCTAATGATTTTAAAATACAGTAAATACATTTCAGAGTGTCTTAATTTAAATTGCACATGTACACTCTGCATCACATTTAGTCTTTTTATGGTTTGGATGCAGTTTACTCAGCTCTGAAGTACGAATAATTCTCAGTGCATCCATCAGAAGGATCTCATTTAACACCTTCCCCTTTTCAACTTTTCAAAATAGATATTTGACACTCACACTTTGCTGGGGATTGCTGAAATTAAAGGCAGGATTGCCAAGAACAGTTGGCTGCTGAGGACGAGCTGCATTTCCTGCATGAAGAGGGGCACCATGAGCACAGCAGGGTGCAATCACACAGTCCCAGGCTGCTGTGGGTGGGAAGGGACCTTAAAGCCCATCTGGTTCCACCCCCTGCCATGGGAAGGGAAACTTCCCCTGGACCAGGAGGCTGCAATACACGGGAATGAGCAGGAGATCAAGGGAAAAATGAAATTTTCATTTACTCTGTCCCTGACTCTCTGCCCCTGGTGGGGGTCATGTCCTTAAGGGGGGTGGAAGGAGATCCAGCACTCCCTGAGGAAGAAAGATTTCACTGCAGGTTGTGAAATGTGAGGAAGACAAACAGGACTAAATCAAACTCTTCCAAAATCCCAAATTCTTATCACATTGAGATTTTTACTTTTCCCACTAACTGCTTTTCAAAATTAAAACATAAACCCAGGAATTCAGTAATGATTCAGCTGTATTAAATGTAATTTCATGACACAAGTGTCTGCTGGCAAGAGCAGTACTTTCCTAAGTGATAACCAGGCGAGCAAAGTTGGGACATCAGCACATAAAAAAGCTGCATGTTAGAGACAAAATCCTCTTTCCAGAATGTTTTCAGGAGATTAATGCTTCTGAAGCACAGCTTCACTCCATTTCTGGCTGGCAGTGGGTAGTGTTAAACAGTCAAGTGCTTTATTTCAGGCACTTTCTGCAGGTAACATGTTATTTGTGCATATTGCAGGCTACACCAAACATTCCTTGAAGAGGAGCAATATTGTTGTGCTTCTTCAAAAGTGCTATAAACTGGGTAACACTGCATTCAAATGATATGCACCTTTTAAAGGCATGACCTTGGAAAGAAGGCCATTTGATTCTCTCTGCAATTTTCTGAAATCAGTTACAGACACCCAAGAGCACTCGAGCAGGGGCTCCAGCACTCCTTGCACAAAAGATCTGTGGAGAGCTCATTTACTAAAATACCTGCTTAGAGGCTTTCACATATTGTACAGTCTGGATATTTGCAATTTGGGTTTTGTGGCGCTGACTTGACCACATTCCCTTCACTCCAGCTCCAGATCCACCTCTGCCATCCAGAGAAGTGCTGCTTTCCTCTGGGGATGAATTCCACGTGCAGAAGAGAACCCAGAGCAGTTCATCGATTCAAGTGCAGATGTTCTGAGTGCCAAACACCCCCCAGGCTGGGTGCTGGGATTTCCCATTCTTAGGATGTGTTTTGGGGGTTACCTTGAGGAGCTTTGCGTGCAGGAGTAAGGTGTAGGCAGCCTCTGTGTAGTTGTCACACTCCTTGTGCAGGTCACACAGCTTGTACAGGTACCTGCCAGCAGCAGAAACAATGGCTCTTAAAAAGAGTAGGTTCACTACAGAGATGTCACTCAATCATTTATTTTGAAGATTAAAAGGGTTCAAGTCTATCTTCAAACAAGCAGATATTTGTGGGATTGGTTAAAGTTCCCATTTCTGTGTGCAGACAACATTTAGAACCATTTGCATTTCCACTGTGCTGTTTTTAAGGGATACTCAGGAAATCATGGGGTCATTGAGGTTGGAAAAGTCCTCCAAGATCATTGAGTTTAATCTTTGACTGAACATCACGAGAATGACTTGTGGTGAGTAATTAATCCAATCCAGATTTTGTGCAAGACAGAGCACTTTTACAGTTCAGCTATGGGACAGGAATAACTTTCATTATTTACCTTCAATAGCATCACACCTCACTCAATTCTCTTAATTTGTTTGATGATTTTTACACTGACAATTTAAAAAGTCCCCACAAAACTATTAAAAATTGTATTTTGAAAAAGCCAGTGAAAATGCTTTCAAGTTTGATAGTCATTATAAGTTTGTTAACAGAAATTGGAGAGAATTTGGCTGGGGGTTTGGCAGTGAGAAACAATTTGTCTTTATAGAGATGCTGAACAGGGCAGACCTAAATAATAAGAAATCACTTCATGTGTTTGTCCACAATTATCAATCCTGCCATTTTCTATTCTTTTTGCAAACTTCTAAAATACCTATTAAAACCATTTAAACAACAGGAAGAGAGTTGACAAGTGAAAACTCTTCCACAAAGATAACAAGCACCTGAGAATGAATAATGAGTCACATTTAGATACCTAAAATAGCAGTACGAACAGAAACCTCATCATTTTAACACAACAGTGTAAGCAATAGTCAAGCAAAGCACAAATGGGGGCTGTGAACCCTGAGGTTTACAGAAAACACAATATTTCCATGTTTACTTGGTCTGAAAAGACATTTTGAAAGCTTGAAGTTTAAAATAAGTATCAGTCAGGTATTATTTAACAATTGTTTTTACTCCAAGTCACATATCTTGTACCTCACTAGGAGGCAACATCATTTCTTTGCTCAGCTTATTTTTTTTCTTCACCAGCACAAGAATTCTGGCTCCTGAGTATTTCATTGTAATGGAACTGAAGGACATGGAGAAAGGGGACAGAGATAATCTCCTGACTTTCACTTCCAGCACTCTGTTCTCAGTGCAGATAAGCTTTTGAATTACTCCAGGTTCAGCCAAGGTGTGATTTTTCATTACTCCTCTCCTCCAGCCCCCAAGTGACTGCTTAATATGAACTTAATTTCCCCAATTACAGAGCCTGTGTCAGGCAGTTTGTCACCAGTCATGTTTACAAACCTTATGTACATCTCTTCCCTCTCGATCTCCTTGTAGAAATTCTGAAAAACAACATAATTTGGTTACAAAGTCTTTGATTTCACACTTTGCAATGTACACAGAACACGCTCCAAATTAAAAATTCATAATTGCGTAACGTCAACCTCCAAACTGCAAAATGAAATTTGCCTCCAGTGATGGAACACAAGTTATTTAACTCAGAAAATCAAATGCTGGGATGTTTCATGTTGCAATGTTTTAGGGCTGCTGTCTCACTGCAAAGGTTCAGAATTTGCAAGAACAATACTGCTAGAAATTTGCTGCTGGCATTTGCAAGTCACACATCATTAACCATTTTCAGCTGAAAATTTTCTAACATACAACAAAACAGAAATTTTAAAGCAACAGTTGTTCTCTGGATTGAAAACTCTGAACTTTAGCCCAGCAATACAACATCTGCTCTTGGATTCTAACAGTTTCCTTGGAAATACAAAGTTAGATTAGTGTTATTTGTCTGGTTTCATATGTCACACATTAGCATCGCTCTCCTCTGAGTGCCTCCAGCCTCGAGATAAACTGGTTAACAGTGCAAATATTGTAAATGCAAAATATGGTAACTGGGGGAGAGATTCAAGGCATTTCTGAATCTAATTTTAAGTTTGCCTCCAAAATTTAAAATGTATCTAAGAAAACAAAATACCAAGAAAGTCCTTCTTCAATGAATCAAATATATTTCAATGCTAAATTAAAGAAGTTTGAGGAGGCACTAAAAGAGAACAAACCCAGGACTAAAAGAGGGATAAATCCAGTACAAAAGTGATCTTTCAAAAGAGACTGGAATGGATAACAGAATCCACATTTCACAGAGGAATGATGGGTTATTCCAGGGGTATTTCAGTTGATAAAGCTGCTTATTACTTTTGGGTTCAATTTAGAAAACAAACTGCCAAGGCCACCACTGCCCCTTGTCCCCAGGTGCCACATCCACATGGCTTTTAAACCCCTCCAGGGATGGGGACCCCAGGACTGCCCTGGGCAGCTGTGCCAGGCCTGGACAAACTTTTCCATGAGGAAATTGTTCCAAATATTTACCCTGAGCCTGCCCTGGCCCAGCCTGAGGCTGCTCCCTCTGCTCCTGTCCCTGTTCCCTGGAGCACAGCCCGACCCCCCCGGCTGTCCCCTCCTGGCAGGAGCTGTGCAGAGCCACAAGGGCCCCTGAGCCTCCTGTGCTCCAGGCTCAGCCCCTTCCCAGCTCCCTCAGCCTCTCCTGAGGCTCCAGAGCCTTCCCCAGAGCCACTGGCATAAATGCAGATCAAACCCTCCCAGTTAAACCACCGGCAGTGCAGATAAGTTTAATCTCAGGAAAAGCTCGGGATCAGCGAAGTCCCAATTAGGAACTCTTTGAGACCTCACGTGGGAATTGCGCCGGGTTTCAGCCCTGGGTAGGATTTTTGCAAAGGCATGAATTTCACTTCAGGTACCTGGAGAATGATGAAAAGGCTGAGTGGGCCCTGGAGGAAAAACGGGAGTGTAAAATCAAGCTAAGGTTTGAAATCACAGCGAGTGAAAGCGAAGGAAAATTCTGCCCTGCGCTGCTTCCCGGGGATTCCAGAGGCTGCAGCAGGCCTGTGCTTGGTGTCTCACTGTGACTGCACCTGACAGCAGCAAATCACCCACAAAATCTATCATCTGCAAGTTCAGCTGCCCAGAAACAGCATCAGGAGATGCTGTTGGGAGACACCTGGAGAGAACAAACACCCAAGGGTTCCTCGGCTTCCCCATGGGAATGGCGAAATTCCTGGGAGAAGGCTCCGAGTGCTCTGATGAAGGGAAGGAGAAACAACTTCCCCTTCCCAAGGGAATGTTCCCAGTTTGACACAGTGTGTGGAGACTGTGATGTGTTGTTTCCCATCCTGCTTGGAGACCTGGCAGGATTTTCCACCAGGGTTCTGCTCAGGAGGACGCCGTGACCTTTCCGCAGGCAACACCAGCCTGTGACAACTCTCCAAGTCCCTCCTCTTCGCCCATTTCCCAAACATTCTGATGCTTTCTGATGTGCAGAGAGGAAAAACAAACTAAAAATAAACACCCAATTTCAGATTTGATGCCTCCATCTCCTCTCCTGCTCCAGTGGGCACCATTTGGTTCATGGCTGATGAGATGGGGCGGTGTAAATGTTGCACTGCACGAGGCCAGGACTGCATTAGATGCAAAATAAAAAAGCTAAAGTCTACATCATATGCAAAAATAAAAAAAGTTGTGAACTATTTACTCTGCTCTTTCCTGAACAAAGTCCATCAGCCAGATCACATAAATGATAAACACTGGTTGTGCCTCATGTATTCTAGCAGAATCAAAGCTTTGATGATGATATGGGGAGGAAAGCTTGGAATTCTCAGTGGCAAACAGTGGAAAAACCAAACTCAGTTCACATTATTTTGGGCTCTCTGAAAGTTATCTTTCATGGGTGCTGATTTTTGCGTTGTAAAATCTCATTTTCTAAATCTCCACCAAAGATCATGATGTGTGTGAGTACAACTGGAACAATTATTGCTTCCAACTCCAGCCCAAATAGATCAAGATTTGTGTATGGGGTGGACACTCCAGAATTTCAGGGTCTAAGAGGAAGAAATTTCCCATCAGTGAGGAAAACAAGCCAAGCTTTTCCTGCTGTGAATCAAATAGTACCCCCAATTCCTTCAAATAATTTGAATAAAGGGGCTGAGCAGAGAGCAGAATATAAATGGGATTACAAATCCATGGAAATTTTGGGAGTAAATGGCAGAGAACTCCGACATTCTGTATGTCAAGTGGTTTTCAGCACAGAGTTGTTTATACACCGATTGTAAATGTCAATGAACAGGACCTGTAACATTTCTCCTTAAATCTTTCTGTACAAACAATTAAAGAAGGGATAATCCATGTTTTCACAGATTTGCCTTCACCAAAATAGGAAAAAAATAGGGAAAAAACCTAAAGCATTCCGAATTTCCCCAAGAATCCCAACAGACACTCTGCTTGACACAAGCCCTCTGTTAAAGATGCAGCATCCTGAGGGTAATGGGGCTTTGGGTGATTTTGTGGTGATTTTGTAGTGGTTTTATGGTGGTTTTGTGATGATTTTTGGGTGATTTTATGATGATTTTGTATTGATTTTGTGGGGATTGTTGGTGGTTTTGTGGTAGTTTAGTGGTGGGTTTTTGGATGATGTGGTGGTTGCGGTGATTTTGTGGTGATTTTTGGTGTTTTTGTGGTAGTTTTGTGATGGTTTTAGGGTGATTTGGTGATGATTCTTTGGGTGATTTTGTGGTGATTTTTTGGTGATCTTGTGGTGATTTCGCAGTGGTTTTGTGGTGATTTGTGGTGGTACTGGTTTCATAGAGAATTTGTGGCATTGTTGCAGTGATTCATGGTGTTTTTATGGTGATTTGTGGTGGTTTTGCAGTGATTTGTGATTTTGCTGCTCACCAGCACGTTGACAGTGCAGCTCATGCGGTTCTCCTTGTTCTCATCGTGCATGATGGTCCTGTAGTCCAGCAGCCTCTCCATCAGCCTCACCACCAGCTTCACAAAGGTCTCCCCACTCTTGGCCAGGTATTTGTGCTTCCTGCAGTGCTCCAAGAGACTGAAAAACCAATTAAGTTCGCCTTGTTAATCACACGCAGAGAAAAACCTTGACTCAGGTGCAGTTTTAAATATTGCACATCGTTAACAGATTTTAATTATTTCTGGGCTACAAAGTTCATTGTAGTCTAATTGCTCTCTCTCCTGACTTCCCCATGACATAAATTCTGCTGCTGATCAACACTTACATTTTGTCAAATAACACTTTGTACTGCTCATCTCCACGGCCTCCCTCCACTTCGTGATCCAGTTTGGTGATGATCTCGTTTTCGAACTGTAATTAAACAAAGCAAGCGTAAATAATCAGCTGGCAAATATTTCACTTTATTACTGTAGCCTCAATGCCTCACAGATTGGTTGGGTGCCTCGGTGAGACGTTTAGGCCCTGGTTTAAAGCCTGATTGACTTTTAGAGTTTGCAGTCTCTGGTTTTTTTTGACTCTCCACGATGATCTCCTGCCCTACAAGGACTTCTTTGGTTAAAGGAATCATTGGTCGTGCTGTTAAATGAAGTGTAAATATTTGCATTATGGAAAACGAAAGGAGATTAGTGACAGGAATTGAGGGCAGGGAGAAAGGAGACACAGAATGTCCCCAGCAGCAGAACTAAACACAAAAATGCTGGAAGCTCTCAGAGAGGACAGGCAACACCTGAGGCTGGATAACCCTGCTGGGTGCACCCCCAGCATCCTTGACACCCCTTTTTAGCACACAGACACTGACTGCAGGACACAACCTGATCAAGCTGTTAATAAACCCCTGAAGAAGGGAAGGGAGCAGTTTCAAAAAAACTCCAGGATAATTTTATTTGGGCAATATTAAAAGAATGCAAACTTAAGTGGCCAACAGAATGTGTTTTAAATGCAAACTGGGTAATGCCATGGATTTTTTTATGATTACAGAGGGTTTTATCTCTTGCTGCTAGGAATGGATGTGAACTGTTAGTGGAGGAAGGCTCACTCCAGGCCTGCTGCTCTGCCATGAATCAGTGAAGTCACCTAGTTCCTAATTCTTCATTAACTAGGCACAGACAGACACAGCAGGAGAGGCTGGGCAAGCTGGGAGCCCGTGGCAGGGGAATGGGAGCCCAGTGCTCCCAGTGGGAGTTGGGTGACAGAACACTTGTCAGCAGGTTTTTTCACTGTTATTTCCTTAAGCCACCCCCAAAGATGCTGAGGAGAAGCAAAGGACCCCTGCACAAGAACAAAGAGTACCAACGTTTTGTAATCTTTGCATCTGCAGGTGATATTAACAGCACATAATGTACCCATGGACAGAGAATGGATTGCCTGGATCATCAAAAGCCCGTGGCAGGGGAATGGGAGCCCAGTGCTCCCAGTGGGAGTTGGGTGACAGAACACTTGTCAGCAGGTTTTTTCACTGTTATTTCCTTAAGCCACCCCCAAAGATGCTGAGGAGAAGCAAAGGACCCCTGCACAAGAACAAAGAGTACCAACGTTTTGTAATCTTTGCATCTGCAGGTGATATTAACAGCACATAATGTACCCATGGACAGAGAATGGATTGCCTGGATCATCAAAAATTCTGGGTTGGAAGGGACCTACAGGGATCATCCAGTCCAGTTCCTGGCCCTGCACAGACACCCCAAAAACCCCACTGAGAGCATTGTCCAAACCCTCCTGGAGCTCTGGCAGCCTCAGTGCCATGCCCATTCCCTGGGGAGCCTGGGCAGTGCCAGCACCCTTTGTGGGGGAAGAACCTTTCCTGATATCCAACCTAACCCTCCCCTGACACAGCTCCAGCTGTTCCCTCAGGTCCTGCCCCTGGTCACAGTGAATACAATGAATCCAATATTAAAATAATGACAGAAGATGAGAAAAGGCAGGATAATGCAATCCACCCCCTCCCAGAACCAAACATGCCCCCACAGTACCAGACAGTTGAGTGAAACACTGAAACAACACAATGATGAAACTGAGAAGTCACAAAAATCCTATTCCCTAATGAGCCCAGAATAAAACTGACTTTGTAAGCCAATGTGAAAAATGACACTTGCTGCCAGCCCCAGCCCTGCAGGTGATGTATTTTTTAGGAAGAGATTACTCAGATCAAGAAGAGCAATTACTTTTGTCATGCAGGATCTCCAGGATCCTCCCACTATCAGTTTTACTTAAACCTCTGTAAATCCATGCTTCGTTGGGCCATTTCCCCTAACAGCCTCTTGGGCTGAACAGAGTCAGAATTGTGGTATTTTGGGGGTTTTAAGGATTATTAACAGTATCTTTGCTCTTCAGTCATTCCTGGTATTTCTCATGGAGTCGCTGTGGTGTTGATCATCTGAGCCAAATGAATAAATGTTATTTAACATCAGTTACAATTCCTTCTGTGGTCTTTCCATGGAGGAAGGTTTTAGCAATACCAGCTAAGGTTTATGGAGCTTTGGAGGTTTATCACTCCCACGATGGGAGCAGCAATGTGACCCTGGAGCTGCACAAGCCAGTGGCTCTGGGACATTGCACCTGGCATCTGTTGATAAACTCCATTTTTCCTTTTCTCTCTCTTTTTTTTCCCCTAATGCACTGAGTTTTTTATAAATGCATTACATTTAATTTAATGCATAAATAAGCCTGCAATTATTGTGATGGGATTTAGTCTCAAATGAAGAAGTGCCAAGTCTCCAGTGTTTCCATTAGAGCCAGTGCCACTTGCTGAGGCTCTTTCTGGAGGCTCAGGGGGAAAATCTGCACCATCAGTGAGTCACATTCACATCCTTCTGCTGACACTGAAAGCTTGAGGGGTGACACCAGGAATATTACAGGACATTTTTATCCACTCTTCCTCTCAGCTTCCCTTTAGGATGAGAGTTTGAACTTGAGCAAAGAGCACCTCCAGTGCTTCCTCTGTCTGTGACAATCTCCCACCTGGAGCAAATAAATCAGGGTGAGCCATCTCATGTCAACTCAACTGATCACTTCTGGGCTTGGGTTTACCTCAAGGAAGGCTGAATTTGTAGCACTGGCTGACAAGTTAATTTTGCTGTAAATGAGGAGGACTTCCAGCCCTCCAAGCTGCTATAAATTCATTTTGATGTGGGCTAATAATAATTTGCCATATAAAATTCAAGTGACAGATCACACCACCAGAAATTAGTCCTAAGGCAGAAATGGCACCCAAGTACAGCAAACTTTGCTCATAGGTTTCTGTCAAAGTTGGTGGCTGTTCTTAATGGTTTCATCTATTCTCTTTCCTATTTTTCCAAAGCATTCCAGCAGGGAAACAGATCTGGAGCCATTCAAAATGATGGGATCATCTTGGAGGCCACTGCATTACCTTTCTCCCTTGCTCCTCCCCAGGTGGAGTCGGAGAGGATTGTTGATATTTTCCAAAAAGCCAGAAGCCAAGAAAAACTTACACATTCACACCTCAACTGTAGGTAATTAAAAAATGTTACTTATTGAAACCAATCCTCTGTGGGGGATTAGTTATTTGGATTTGAATATTCAGTGAGACCACAGGAATTGGGAGAGTCATTTACTTGTGTCCTGTCTGCAAATCCACAGCACAGGGAAAGGAGGTTAACCCAGGGCTCAGAAGTGGCAAAAAACTTGAATAAGGAATTATAGGTTCTGAAAGCCAAGAGAGATTCTGATAAACTAGGGGTAACTTCTGACTAGGGGGAATTAAATCCATCTGAAATTCACCAGTAACCAGCACGTGAAAATCAAAATGCTGGTGTGACTGTTTGGCGACACTGAGATTTGTTGTTAAATGCAAGAAATGGGCTCAATTCCAAACAAGCAGAACGTGGTACCACAGTGACACAGGTCCAGAAAAGATGAGTTAAAATTTAGGCTGGTAGGAAATGAGGAATGAAGCCACAGCTGGGAGCAACAGGCACCGACACCAGGAGCTTTCCATGCTCCAAATTCCACATTCCAGCTGCAGGGTTGTTTCACCTGAAGCTTTCCCTCCTGTTGGCACCACGGGATCCATCCCACTCACCTGAGCAGGCCCTGAACAATCAAACCAATTCTCTTTCATCACTCCTGTGGCTCTGACAAATTCCCTTTGATCCAGAGGCTCTGCTCCTGGAACCGGCCACGGGAGAAGCCAAGGGGAGGAGGAGGAGGAGTTTCCTTCCACAGGGAAGCTTCAGTCCCACTCTGGTTTTAGGATGGGATTTCTGCTTTGAGCTACAGGCTACTTTGAAGTCTTATAAAGGCTTCAAAGCTCCTTCAGAGGGAGAGGACAAAATGGGCAACTCCAGCTTTTAAATCAGTCGGCCTTAACATAGTTCTGTAAAAACAAGGGGTATTTATCTTGTTGTGTCTCTAAATAAACTGGGAGAAGAAAAAAAAGCCTCTTCTGTCTGTTCCTGGTTTTACCAGGCAAACCCAAATCTTCCTGAAATGAAAACCACCACAGGGAAAGCTGCCTGTTTATCACACAAACCATCACAGCATCGGAGGCCTGCAAAAAACTGAAATTCCTCCCCCACAAATCATGAGGTTGATGCATCTGCTGGAGAAGTGGAGCCAACCTAAACCCTTGTTGATGTGACTAATAAGGTTAGATAATTGGATTTCTGGCAGATTAGTTTAACAGCAGCCAACCATGCCATTTGGAAGTTCTCTCTGGAAGCAGTGCTGGACAAGGATAATTGGTACTTGCATATAAAGGATATAAAGCAGCATATTACATCGACCCATTAAGCATCAAAGCTTGCCTAGGTACTGGTAATATTAAAAAAAATAGATTTTATCTATTTCTATCACTTCAACACAAAAGAAACAAAAAAATGAGTGAGGAATCTACAGACCAGGTATCCCCACTTCAGTTCCTGAGGAAACGACAGACCAGGATCTCATGGAAGGTTTTTCCAGGTACATAAAGGGCAAGAAAGTGACTGGAAAAAAAACAATTTACCAAGCTGAACATGAAAAAAACTGTCCCCCTTCAATGGAGCCTAAATGAGTCCTGGATTGCATCAGCAAGAGCATGGCCAGAGCAGCAACAGGACTACTGCACTTGTTGGACCACGGCTGGAATTCCATGTCTGGCTCTGATCCACCAGCTGAGAGAGACCCTGGCAAGCTGGAGATGGTCTAAAGGAGGGTCACCAACATGGGCAGCGTGCTGCAGAACCTGCAGAAGGAATTGGGTTTGCTCGGCCCAGAGAAAATCCAACTCAAACATTCCAACACCTAAAAGGTGCTCAGAGAGGAGATGGAAGCAGAAACAGGCACAAGCTGACCCAAGGAAATTCCACTGGGAAATAAAAAGCAGAAACTCTGAGTCATAGAATCCTGGAATGGCTGGGGTTGGAAGAGACCTTGTATCATTCCAAACCTCCTGCCACAGGCAAGGACACCTTCCAAAGACCAGGATTCAACACTGGAATAGCTCACCTGGAGAACTGCTCAAACAACCCTCACTGGAGATACTCCAAACTTCAGGTGGTCCCAGATAACCCAACCTAATGCCCAGATTCATTCCAGAAGTCCCATCCAGCCTAGACTCCCCCTCAACCTCTGCTTTTCCCAAGCCTGTGATCTTCATTCCCCAAAGGCCAACCTGAGATACTCAGCAAACTCAGAACTGCACGATCAATGGCCAGATTGATTATTCCTTGTAGGATGTGGCTGGTTTCTCCAAACCCATGGAAAAGGGTTTTTCTTCCTCTGCACCTGTCCTGTCAATGCCACATCCATAAAGAAGCTACACTGCCACAGGAAATATAATGTCAAGTACAGTCCCAGACATCTCTGACTTGAGGATGAGGCATTTTTCTTAAAATGCAAAAAAAAATTCCCTAAGTGAAATATTTAAGCCATTCATTTATTAAAATCAGCCAACTATTCCACACAAAGCTGGTTTCCTTCTGTCAGGAAAATTGAGGGCCATAAATTTAGCTATAAAGTCACCCTTGGATTTTTTCATGATCTATATAATTGCACAAATAAAAAATGACAAGCAACAAAAGAGAGCATCTGACAGGAAACTGTTTAAATGGCATCCCAGTGAGCATTTCAATCTTTACAGTAGCACTGGAGTCAAACATGAGAAAAAATGATTATGCAGTAATTGGATGAAGCCAAAACACAGTTCACAACCTCTCCACACACCATCCAGCACAAAACAAATCAAAGCAATAAAGCTGATGCCATTTCCCTTGCTTAAGTCTCTCCACGCAGATTTTCATTTACTCTGCCTACAGATTTATTAAGAGCTGCTTCTCAATAGCAGCTCACAAGAAAAGTATGGAAAAGGATAAGGCTTTTCATCCAAGAAAGAAAACTGCCAATACAAAGGGAAAAAAGCAAACAACACATGTCAAGCTTTATTGCAAAATTCACAAGGTCATACCCTGAACTGACAGAAATCTCACAGTGGGAAGGAGCTCCACTGGCTTAATCCAAACCCTACCTGGCCTAACTAGTCTTAAACTCAATCCATAAGCAAAGTTTCAAGGGAAGCAATGTCAGATGAATGATATCAGGAAACTTTCTCTCACTCCACTTGTCTTTCAAAAGTTGAAGTTATCAGAAAAAGATGGTGTGTGTGTGTATTCAAGGGCTCCCCTCAGCAAGTTCAAATCAAATAGAATAAAAATGCTCCATTACTATTTGAGATTTTGCAGTGCCTGTAGAGCAAGAAGAAGCACTGACAGTGCTGGATGGCTTTTTTCCTCTTCAAAATCCATAAAATGGTAAGGAAAATCAGAATTATAAAAGAGAAGAGATGATAAATGCTTACAGGTTATACTTTTGCCACATTATCAGCCTTTCTTTATGTCCAATTTATCTCAGGACCAAACTCCTTGTGTGAGTCACACTGACAATTTAAGACATCTGTCTTTGTTCCTGTGCCATTACCAAAGGTTTCATTTACTACATGCAAATCTCTCCTTCAATAACCACTTCAAACCAACAGATGAAGACTCCACAGCCCCTCAGGACGTGTAGGAAATAAGCAAATCCATAATTATATTATTCCTTAGAAAAATGAGAAATAACAAAACTCCTTATGTTTTGTCAAAGAACAGCCAAATCTTCCTCACTTTAAATGTCTGCAGCTCTGTGCTTACCCTCTGGAAGCTCCTGGTGGAGTGGAATTCACACTGCATCATGTCAAAGAAGATGGGGATGGTGGCTTTCCGCAGCTCCGTTTCTGGGATCAGTGTCATTTCCAGGATAGGCCCCACCATTTCTGGGATGAACTTGATTTTATGCTGACCTTTAGGAGAAAAGATGCATTTCAGAGTGAACAACCCCTGGCTTTGACAGAAATAAAAGCTGTATTAGTATGCTTATGGAGCATAACAAAGCATGTTTTAATACCTGGCTCTACTGAAACACTTTTTTATTATTCTTATTTATTTGATGATAATGATGATCACCACCATTTATAATAATAATTATTAATAATAATTCTATTATTATTATTAAATCATTATTATTTATTTGATTATCAATAATTATTACCACAGGAGAGGAGGCACTGTCTAAATCCAAATCAAGAGTTGTTGAATCAGTCGTCAAGCTGGGACTCGCCACATTTCCCACTACATATTTTCACACCCAAATTTCCAGGTTTTATTTTAAAACACAATGTGTGGCTGGCAGGGAGGGAGGCTAAAAGGCACATCACTTGTATTAACTTATTTAGACTCCTGTGTGAACAAAATGTTCTCGGTGTCAGTCTATCAAAGTGTCACCACGAGTGCAGCCTAACAGAGCCTCGAGACATGAAAGCACAGCTCAGCCAGCCCACAATATGTCTCCTTTCCTCGGAGCTGAGCTGCCTGCAAAACCTGATTGCAGATTTAGCTTCCCAAGAGGAAGCTGCTCCTCCCCCCATCCCTGCTCTGCTCCACACAGGGAAGGGAAATTAAAGCTTAGCAGGAGCGTGGCACCTAATAAATACTGGAAAAAAGAGCAGGTTACTGTTTATGTTATTGGCTAAATGGATGCAGAGAGTGTGTGCTGCAAATCATCTGGTGAATAAGTCCATGGAAAAACCAACAGGATGGCTGGAGTTGGGAGTGACATTGAAGTTCATCCAATTCCACCCCTGCCAGGCAGGGACACCTTGCACTATCCCAGGTGGATCCAGCCTGGCCTTGGACACTGCCAGGCATCCAGGGGCAGCCAGAGCTGCTCTGGGCACCCTGTGCTGGTGTCCCATCACCTCACTGTACCATGATGCTGGAGCAGCACAGACCTGAGAGCTCCAGGCAGAAGTTTAGGAAACACAAACACATTTCTCCATCAGCAACAGGCTGGGATCCACAGGGAGCTCAGGACAGAACTGGAGATGTTCCTCACAGATGCCCTGTTAGGGATGCTTACAACCAGGTTCAAACACTGTTTCTATACTCAGTATCGTGCTTCAGACCAGATTCTTTAGAGTCTAGTCCTCAGTTTCCTCCAGCTCTCAAACTCTTGCTTCCCACTGCAGTTACCAGTGGTACAGGACACAAACAGATTTCAAACTCATTTTTATTCCACTGCACTACACCACTGTGACAGTAACCAGTGAAGTCTTTAATTGGTAGCTTCACTTTGACCAGAACTAACATAAATCTCAACAAATGTAATCAAGAAAAATCCTTTACCACCAAAACACACTCCTTTTTTTAGCAGATATAATTTAAGTCCCTTGATTTGGCAAAATCCTGAATCCTATTAGCATTAGCAATCGGATCAGGGCAAATTAATACTCAGGGAAAATGGTGACTTTGGGTGCTGCTGCAGTGCTGGGGGCTGCTCAGGAATATCAAGTGAGAGGCCTAAAGCTTCCCTCAGTCTCGTACAAGGATGATTACATTGGATCTCTCAGGTGACAGATTTCTTGTGTTATGCCTGAGGAGTGTCAGAGTCAAGACTGCAGAAAACAAATAACGGTGACAAAAGTTGTTCATCACGCGCCGCCTGAACTGCGAGTTCTCCCTGTGCCACTGAGGGTTCTTCCATTGCCTCAAGCACAGGAATTCCCTCAGAACAGGAACATCTTTTGAACTTGAGATGTGAACAATCCACACAAGATTAGAATCTTCAATTAGATGATCTGTTTGCAGCTCTCTGGGGGAAGGCCCTGGAGCGGGAGCCCCGGGTGAGTCTGTCCCACGCGCATCGGTGGTGACACACATGGGTTTGCTGTGACAGAGTGATCCTGGTGCTGGGCCACTAAAGAAAGAATTGGGAGCAAAGCAGGAAGGGAAACAATCCTCCCCTGGTCCCCCAGGGCATCCATGCCCCTGTCTGATAAACAACACAGCAAGGATTCACCTTTTTCCTCCCTGCAGGAATGTGGGAACTCCCACGCTGAGACTCCAAATGTGACAAGTCTGGGAGAAAATTGAGGAGTCTCTTCTGAAAACCAACTTTAGGAACCACATGCAAAAAAAGCCCCCTTTGAACGTGCAAACCCTTTCCCTTGCAGCACCTTGTGCCTGGCCATGGGACGTGCTCACACAGCAGGAAGGGACCTCACCACAAACCAAACACAAGGTGCTCTCCTTGCTGGACAATGCGTGATTCTGGCATTAAAGTGTGATTAATGAGATTCTCATTTCCCAGACTGTTCCCATTTCAGTCTGGGCCACAAAACCCTGTGAGTAATTTGCCAGCAGCCTCCCTGTGCCCTGGGCAGGCTGGGAACACGCCTGACTAATCCAGAGAGGGTTATGCGCAATGACTTCTATTTATGTAACACCCAAAGTTCAGGGCTATTTTTAACCCTGGCCTTCCCTCCAACGACAGCAAGAGCTCTGTCAAGACACCTTTGGTGACGTCAAGCCCTGGCAGGGACGGTGGCACTCGCTGGAGGACACCAGCAACCATTCCCCTTCACCTTGAGGAGCTTCTCTCCTCCGTCTCCCCTCAGCTGCTCAGACATCACCAACACCTCCGAGCTGCCTTTCCCTGGCCACCTTTCCCACCAGGATGTCACCTGAAATGTCACTGCAATTCCTCTGCCACGCAGCTGTGGGTGCCACCAGCCACTGCACATCCTGGCAGAGCCTTGGGTTCTGTCTGCTAAATTGCATCACAAAACCCTTTCCAGTGCATGGTTTTTGAATTCCTGCATCTCCAAGACAGGCCACGGCCTGTTTGATGCTTTTTTGATGCTTTAATGTCTCAGCAAAGTTTAAGAAGCCCCAGTTTCAACAAAACACTGACTCAAAGTAACACATTTTAAAGTTCAGGTTGTGGTATGGAAGGAAAAAAAGCCTCTAAAGCGCTGTTCTGCACTATAAATGTTCTTTTTTTTTTTTTCTTTCTGCTCATAAAAATAGGAAGGTATGATTATTGAGGTCTCCCCTGCATCAGAAACCGGCAGCCAAGTGAAAACTTTAAGAACTCTTATTTTACTATTTAATTTCAGAAAAAAAAATTATACTTTTAAATGTGCATTATAGCTGGAGGACTGCCTTGCTCCCAGCTGGGGAATTTTAACTCAGCAGGCATCGTGTGTTAATCATGGTATTTAGAAACAAAAACCTGATGAGACAAAACATTCATTTTTGAGGCTTTTCTATACCCTCTAATCCATAAATCAAAAGTCAGGGTGGTTTGGTTTCATCACATCTCATGCACAACAGCACAGACATAAAAATCTGTGCTCAAGAATTCCAGAATTCCAGCCTTTCACTTCTGATTTGGTTTCTGAACATACACAAGAACAATTTGATTAATGCAGTGCAGCTTCCAAGATAAAAGTGTCAGGCACCCCCCAATCGATTCCCATGCAGTGAGAAGTTGGAATTCCTTCTTAATTGATGCTGTGACACAGATGAGATTGGTGAGGAGCCAGAAGTGAAACGTGATCCATGAGTTTAACATGGACTCTCTGTGTGACAAAGGAGATAAGGAAAATCAAGGTGCTGCTCAGGAGAAGCACAAAGGCTGCCTTACACTGGGGTCCTGCCTCACATTTACCTTTCTCTTCCAGTTTTTCTTGGGAAGAGCAGCAATTTCCTGACTCCCTCCACATGTGGGATTTTGCCATTAATGATCCCATTAACAGATCTTGGAAAATCACAAATATTAGAGCTTGAGGAGGTCACAGAGGGATCTTACCTGGATAATCTCCATTTATAAAAAATCCATTAAAAATAAAAAGCTTTCATGACAGCACAGGAAGAAATATTGAAGAAAACACTACCCCTTGAGCCAATCGATTCCCAAAACTGCAGGGGAAATTATTATCCTTGTTAATGGTGAGAAACTGAACCCTGGAGCAACTAAATAACCTGTAAAGAGCAGCCAGTGACAGCAGCAGTAGTGAAAGGCACAAGGCACTCCACAAAGCCCAGCCTGGATAAAACAACCTCAGCTAACACCAGCTGGATGGGAAAGTCTGCATCAAACTTTCTACTTTCAGTCCAGTAAATTCTGGGAAAAGTTTAAGAATCCATAAGAATCCAAAGAGACCAGAAATATTAGTGAGGAGAAGAGGTGGCTGAAGGAGCTGGGAAGGGGCTGAGCCTGGAGCACAGGAGGCTCAGGGGGCCCTTGTGGCTCTGCACAGCTCCTGCCAGGAGGGGACAGCCGGGGGGTCGGGCTGTGCTCCAGGGAACAGGGACAGGAGCAGAGGGAACGGCCTCAGGCTGAGCCAGGGCAGCTCAGGGTGGATTTTGGGAAAATTCCTTCATGGAGAGGGTTGTCCAGGCCTGGCACAGCTGCCCAGGGCAGTTTGGAGTCCCCATCCCTGGAGGGATTTAAAATCCATGTGGAGGTGGCACCTGGGGACAAGGGGCAGTGGTGGCCTTGGCAGTGCTGGGCCGGACTCGCACTTTTCACAGAATTCACAGAATGACCAGGTTGGAAGAGACCTTCAAAATCATCGAGTCCAACCCAGCCCCAACACTCAACTGAACCCTGGCACATCCAAGCTTTGTTAAACACACCCAGGGATGGTGACTGCACCACCTCCTTGGGAGGCTATTCCAGAACTTTATCACTCTTCCAGTGAAAAACTTTTTCCTGATATCCAGCCTGTATTTCCCTTGAGGCTGTGTGCTCTGGTTGTGTCAGTGCTGCTGGAGACAGAGCCCAGCCCCAGCTGAGCACAGGCACTTTTCAGGAGCTGTGCAGAGTGAGGAGGGCACCCCTGAGTCTCCTTTTCTCCAGGTGAGCACCCCCAGCTCCCTCAGGGGTTCCTCTCAGGGCTGGTGTTCCAGCCCCTCTCCAGCCTCGCTGTCCCCTCTGGATGTGCTCAGTGTCCCAAGGTCCTTCCCAAGCTGAGGGGCCAGAGCTGGGCACAGCACTCCAGGTGTGACCTCAAACCTTACCAACTACCAACCTTTCCAACCTTCCCAATTCCATGACTCCACAACTGTGGGGCTGGAAGAGGGACAGATTTGGCTAATTACTCACCCAGAGGCTGCCAGCAGCCCACGCTGGGTGATGCAGCAGCAGGCATGACACTGATTTTATTACCTGCCTGTCAAGTCACATCTCAGCTGTGCACTAAGCTCTAATCTGTTCTCCAGACACTTAATTCACCAAAGATGCTTCTAATAAAAGTGAACTCAGCTGCTCTCTGAAGCCTTTTCTCATCATTCCAGCAGATAGGATGCAAATTCTGCGATATCAAATACTTATGAACCCTTGGCACTCTCTTCTCTTAGAAATTCTGGGGTTTTTCAACTCCCAGCAACAACAGCTCAGCCAGAGATAGAAGTGAAGTGGCAAACGCTTTATTTCTGATCATTTAAGGAAGTTTTGATAAAACTCAGAAGAGCTGAAGTGTCTGTGCTGTTAAGCTCAGGAAAATGAAATCTGGCAGACGAGTACACTCAGGTCACAGTAAATACTCAGTTTCTCATGAAATTCAATCCCTGTACAGGCAAATTATACCCAGGGAGCAGCCGAGGCTGGAGAGAGGCAGAGCTGCCTCACTTACCCACGAGCTCCAGGGAGCTCCAGCTTCCCAGACTTTTCTGAGCCACTGATGCTGCCAGACAAGGCTGAAAAGCAGAGTTTAAGCAGGATTCCAGGCTGAGGTACTGAGAACCTTTGGACACATGCATTTTGCTACATCCTCAAGTGAGTTAATATAAATACGTGTGTATATAGATATTTGTAAGGGGAAAAAAAACCCCATTGAATAGTTATCACCATAACAATGGGTTTGTGTTCAGAAGAGACTGAAACCTACAAAAACCATGAAAAACATAAATATTAACAAGAGTGATGTGCTTACCCAGATGGTGAATTAAATGTGCAGATGTGGCTTGGTTTCTTAAATCACCAGATTCTTAAAAGCTCTCTGCAGGCACACTTTTGTTTCAGGAGAAAGGAAAGCCATTTTACAGAATGGTGGGATTGGGTTGGAAGGGACACCAATGACCATCTCATTCCATGGGCAGGGACACTTTCCACAGACCAGGTTGCTCCAAGTCCCATCCAACCTGGCATTGAATTTTTCCAGGAATATCCCTCTAAATGGTTTTTTGGGAACAATGAAGGAACACATGCTTAGGATACTTACCCAGGTTGTACCACATGTCCCTGATCTCAAACCCAATCTGCCTTCTCATGTCCCCATACCTTGAAAAGGAAAACAAAACCAGCATTAAACCAAAAGAAAACAAAGACCTACAAGCAGATAAATCTCATTTCAAAATCAGATTCACAGCCTTCAAAAGGGGAAGAAGCTCCAGAACAGGTTCTCAAATGGGACCCACACTACTGAGATTACCTGGCTACCCCCACCAGCTCAGCAATGCCTCTGTCAACATGAAAATTTGGGGAAAAAAGGTTTCCAGCCTCAACAATTCCAACATTCCATGGTCCCAGGCAGAGGTGGGAGCCCACCCACCCTAAAGCTGGTGGCACCAACACTTCCCATGTCCCATCAGGGTCATTTTCCACTCCCCTCCCTCTCCACAGGAAAGCTTTAACGAGCGGAATTCACCCCACTGCCTTCATTAACAATGGGATCAGAACCCTAATAAGCTCCAAGGATGCATTTGCTCTATGGAATATTTGCAAGTTAAAGATCATTACTTAAATAACAAGATGAGCCAAACTGTAATATCTGGCAACTTGTAGGATTTGTGGGGGATAATAGTGAGACACCCAGTCATTAATGTGGATTAAAGAGAATCTTCTGCATCATTAAGAATCTGCTATTATCTAATGCTTAAATGCAATGTTTAGCAAAACCTACAAATTACAATAATTAAATTTTAATTATTAAATATTTGACGTTTTAATTGAAATATGTACTTAAAAAGATGGGTGAGTATGATATTGAATTAACTGATTAATTACATCTCTTTTGACACAGAAGTGCCTTCACACAGCAATGAAAGTGCTTCCAGACCATGCATTTATTGAATCTCAAATTTATTGTCTTGATTCCTGTCTCCAAAACCTGATTAAACTGAAAATAACAATTTGCAAATTCATTATAAACAAAGACTTACAATTTTGCAAACTTTATTAAGCAACCTCTTCAAACGACTTAATTTATTTACTTATATTAGCAGTGAGAAATGCCTGTTGATTCCTTGAATTCCTTCAGCGAGATAAACTGCTCTGTTTATTATAAAAACCACTCAGAGAAAATTTGTGCCTGTGGTTTCCATCCTGACAAAGAGGAATTATCAGTCCACAAATGTATTTGACAGCAATTTCCAGCCCAATTCCAGCTCAGCTTTGGCTCTTTGCTCAGGTCAGGAGTCTGAGCTGGACTAAAATGCTCTCGTAGGTGTTCATTAACAGTGAGCAGAGAGAGCAAAGGGATTCTAAATTTAATTAAAGAACATTTACCTGCAACACCATCTCAATTTCCTAAATAAAATATACCTGCCTTTACAATACCAGCTCAACTTCCTTAAATAAAATACACCTGGCTCTGCAACACCAGCTCAATTTCCTTAAAAAAAACCTTTATCTATAGTGTTATTTATGGTATTTATAGCACAAGCCCAAACCCTGAGCTCTGCTTGACACTACTTTTGCACTGAACTTGTAAATATTCCTGTTTCATCAATGAAACCCCACGAGTCCCATGTAGAGCAGATCCTAAAGTGCTTTAAAATTCTCTTTCAAGACTCAGGTAGAGCACAGCTTCCAAAGGAAACACCTCAAAACTCAGGAGGGAGTGGTGGAGTTTGCAGGGCAAACTTGGCTCCCATAAAGAGGGATGAGACGTGGAGCTCTTCCTGAATTTTCTGGTCAAAACCCAAAAGCCACATGAGCAAAAAGCCTTTAAAACCAAATCACTGCAGCAGTGATGAACTGTCCCCAGCTCCCCTGGGATTTCTCTTATCGGAATAACAGACAGAAAGGCCTGGATTGGGAAGGTGAAGGGATACAAAATGTATTTTCCTTCTCTATATAGACACATTTTATTTACTGTACACACCAGGAGACAGAGCTGTGCTTGTTCAGGGAATCACAGCTTGGAAATTCCCCATTTTTGTGACCTCACTGGCTGTGGGAACACCTGGCTTTTCCAGATGTTCTTCCCAAATAGAAAAAGAATGCACCCACACTGCCTGAAATCACAAGATTATCCCTTTTCAGAGCTTGGTGTTTAGTTAAGTAATAATAAGGTCACTACTGTGGAACCCCAATAAAAGGCAGGAGAAATATCAACAGGACAAGAGGAAAACGGCCTCAACTTGTGCCAGGGGAGGTTAAATGGAGAGTTGGGACAAATTCCTCACTCAGAAGGTGGTCAGGCATTGGAACTGGCTGTTCAGGTGGAGTTTCCCACCCCTGGAGGGATTTAAAAGCTGCAAGGATGTGACACTTGGGGACCTGGGGCAGTGGTGGCCTTGGACTCCATGATCTTAGAGGTTTTTCCACCCTTAATCACTCTGTTTAAACAGAATCTTCATGTTCCAGTCTCACTTCCAGGCTATTATTCCCTTTTGACAGCTTTCCTTTGCTGTGGGATACTGACTGGCAGTGGGGTATTTGGAGGCAAGGAATGTGATCCCTCAAAAGGAGGAAATGGCTGCACCCACCCCAACCCATCCTTCAGGGATAGCCCAGTGGAAAAGGCTGGAGCACCAAAATTCCCTCTCAACAAAGTCAAGGATGAACAATAAAGAGCAGACAAAAAATGAGATTAGAAGAAGCACAAAGCTGAAGTGCTTTCAAAATGCAGTTTTATAACATGTTAACATGAGAATCTTGACTTTCTGAGCATCCTGCAGCAGCAAACACTGAATTCATCCCTAATGAATGGTGAAATTCAGATCTTCATGCCAGGGCAGAAACACACACAACACTTGATTCATGTTTTTCAACCCAACCTTTCATTATTCCCTGATTGCATCTCAATTTGAATAGATTTAGCAAAGAAATTAAACTGAAATTATGGCAATAGACCTCGAGTTCTTGGCCATGATTTAGATGACGAGCAGGACTTACTTGTTAAGGATTTTTGCTCTTTTAGCACTTGAAAAATTCTCCAGTTGTAAAGATTCTTGTGTGAGAAAAGCAACAGCCAGGTGGAAATAGTTGTTCCAGAGCTGAAAGCCCCCAAAATGACAAGAAGAGATTCCATTAATTCTCTGAAATGTTTCTCTACACACCTACAAAACAACTTAAAAGTCCCTAAATTATGCACATAAATATTTCAAGGAGAAAAGAACAGACACCACAGAGATGGTGTTTCTTGATAAATTCTTAATACAGCTCCTCGTTGCCTTTATGTTTCCAACAAACATTTCCCAGCTACAAATCCCAATTCTTTGTGTTTTGATGATTCAGGCAGAATCCCAACCCAAACCCTGCTGTGATTCTGTGATTCTGTGACAAGACCCACAAGTCAGGAATGGATCACAGCACCTGCTGAGCCTGGAATGATTTAACTGGGATAACTGGGCTTCACAGCCACAAATAAACCATGAACAAACCCACCAAAACTACACAGGGCAGAAATTTGTTACATTAATATCATTTATTCCATTCAAGCTGGGAGTTTTTTCTTACCTGTAACTCAAAGTTGGCTTGATCAAGGAATTTTTTGTTTAGCATATCTGCATACTGATTAATTGCTCGCAGGAAGACTCTGAAAGATCAAGAGAAAATTACATAATTACACACTTCTGGGGTACCTTTGTATATTTGGCATCCCAATTAGACACAAAATCTGAGTCTGTCTGTAAAGTGAAATTTGAGGCTGATACTTGAAAAGCAGTGTGATCTCACCACTGGTAAGTGTACAGAATTCTATGCAGATGTTCTCCAAATTAATCAAGTAAATTAGCATATGCAGAAACAGAGGGAGTGTTTGGGATAAAATCACTTGTCTTTAAAATATCTTTTCATAATCAAGAGATCATTAAAAATTCAGTTTATTAGCACTATATAGACATAAATTTTTAAAGTTTCAATGTTGTGTCTAAGCCAGACCTGCAACTGGTTGTATTTTAAGTTTAAGGTCAAGAAAAACACGTTTTCAAACACATGAGGCAAAAAAACCCCTTCACTTATGGAACAACAGAAATGCTGTTAAAGGACAGTCTTTAAAACATTGTTCACTGCTCTATTTCCCAAATGCTAATTCAGTAATTCAGTACCCACTGTAGTTTATAGAGTTTCTAAAACACCTCTTAAATTGCAACAGGAGTTGGCCTGACAAGCTTGAAAGAGAAAACCAAACGGCACAGGAGAAGTAGGGCACTACATATTCATGGTGCTGAAAAATAAACTGATTATTCCTTGGTAGCCTGATCTCCATTTCCAAAACAAACATGAGATTCCCCCTGCAAACTCCAAATTTATGCTGTGCAGCTGCCAGCTAATGCCCAAACAAATGAGCTGCTCCTTGGAGCAGGCTGGGGGAGAGGTTTGTGTCTCCTCAAAGTCCCAAAAAATGATGAAAATCCCTCCTGACATGTTCTGGGTTTGTTTTTTCCCCACCCCCAAAAACAAATTGAAAAAGGAAGTCCACTACTGCAAATAAAAATATTAATTTCTTTCAGGCTGGAAAAAAAGGGCAGAATTATTTAAAACAAACCAGATAGGATTTGTACTGAATTTAAGATACTTAGCAATTTCTCCTGAAAAAAAAGAAAAATTAGCTGCAAGTTTGGTATCCAAGAGAAAAGAAGCCTCCAGATAATCCAATATGATGGAAACAGACATTATTTATAAATATTTAAATATTTATATATGGGCAATATATATATATATACATATATATATATATATATATATATATATATAGCCGAGCAATTATTTATGAACATATTGATGTATTTATATAAATATATCAATATGTGCATACATTTAGCAGAATGCTAAGAGAGTTTATTTATTTATATATTGAAATAAATTAATAAAGGGAAAAAAATCTGATGCCACTGGGATGTATGTGTAGTATAAGGCCAGTTCATCCCCATAGGAGAATTATGGAGGAGAAAGAAAGGATCTAAATGGGAAAATTAAAATTAAATTTAGAAAGGAAAATATAAGAATAATTAAAATACAAAAGTATTTTTAATATATAAGCAAATATACATAAAAATCAAGTACATACATACTTACAGGTGTGTTTTATAATATTATTCTTTATAACTAAGATGAAAGAAACATCTCTGCACTTGCACCCAGCACAGCCAAGCAGGAATTTCAGCCCTTCAGTGTTTTGGGCAAGCACTTCATTAAGAGATTTTATAAATGAGCTGAATCCAGCACACAAATGAACACCCTGCACTGCTCCAAAATATATGGATTGGAGATCTGTGATTCAATTACTGAGCTGTAGCACAAACTAAGATTGAAATCGAGCTTATCTGTGCAATCAGACAATCACCAGTTTTGTCCCCTCCTCAGCCCTGCTTTGCCTTGTGCTTCTGAAAGCTGATAATAGAAGGAGATCTGTAAATCTTCCCCCAAAATTAACAACTGAATGTGGTGCAGGGGCCATCCCAGGCTGCTCCCTCATGGACATAAAACTGGTTCCAACTCAGGCAGGATTGTGCCTCCAGCTTAATGATGCTGCCTTAAGACATCACTGGAATGTATTCAATCTGCTCCATCTAATTAAGCTTTGGCACAATCTCATTACTTCATACACCATTATTTTTCTTTAAATTGTAACTCTCATTTTTCCTTTATATTAATTCCAGGGAATACCAACAAAGAATAAAGAATACATATTCTGCTATGTTTGCCACTGGAAAAGGAGCAGAGCACAGAACACGTGTTCATCTGGAGCTGGAATTAAACAAACCCTGGGCATCAGCGGGGTTCAGGAAACCAGAAATTCCTCCAATTTTCCATAAAGGAACATCCCAAAGAAGAGATAGAGAGACTTCATGTTGATTTTTGAATTATTGAAATCCCATTTTTGATTTGATCAATTCTTCTGTGACTGGATAAAACACTCCCTGCATAGGTCAGTGGAGAAATCCCAGTGTCAGTCCACACAACATCATCATCATCACCAATATCATCATCATTACTAGTATTTCTTCTACTACTACTATTCCTACTCCCACTACTACAATTATCACAATCTATCTTCATTTGCAAATCAAATGTCAGGGCAAACCTCACAGCACTTTGCAGGATATTTCAGCACCTCCAGTGCCAAGAGCAAAATTAACATATTTTTTATCTAATGAAGTTAATTTTTAAAATATATTTATTAAAATATTGACAAGAAGAAGTTGCAAGATCACTACTCTGAAGAGAGAATTTCCATAGTAAAAAATCATGCTGGATGAATTCTTGGCTGGATCCTGGGCAATGCTTTGTTATCACCTGGGAAGTTGCTGCAACTCATGAATATAACAACGGTTCAGGTTTATGCCCAAATAAAAAATGAAAAGGAAGCTGAAATACTTTATCATTCCAGGTGTTAGTTAAACCCTCCTCCTCCTCCTCCTCCAAAGCAGGTCCTGACAATTTTCAGTAACTTCACTGTCAAAAGTTGGAGAAAATGAAGCAATAAGTGGCTCTTCAGAATAAGCGGAATTAACCCAAAAGCAACAGTTCTGTACTGAAGAAGAAAGGAATTGGCTGCTGGAACACTCTCAAGGATAAAAGGTGGACTTGGACATCACTGGGCCAAGGGATAAACAATCAAAACTCTCAGCTGGAGAGCATCCCTTGCAGTGCCAGCCCTTATCTCGCTGTAATTAAAAACCAAGATTGGCTCCCAGTTGCGTGTGCATAAAAAGAAGTGCTCTTCTTGAAATTCAGTTTCAATGAACAAAAGAATTTATTATCCATGTCAGGAAGAGCCACAGAAGTTAAACTTTGAAAAAGGAAGAAGCTCAGAGCCTGGAACCCAACACAATGGACTCTGCTGCCATGTAAGACAACAAAACCTAATCCGAATGTACTGGGAAAGATTTGTGAGACAAAAGACTTTATCAACCCAATTAAAAGCAGGAAATTAACATTTTCTATGATGTGATTGGAATAGAAGGAATATGATTACACAAGGAAGTCACTTCAGGATATGTGGAAGAAAGCAGGGAATAAAAATCCACCAAAGAACAAAATCATTGCCTGGACAGAGGAGGTTTTGTGTGAGCTCTGGGGAAGGGGGATGGGGATGGCTCCAAGGGCATCCAGAGAGTTCTGCTGCAGTTTGATCCTCTGAGGCAGCGACTGTCCTCTTATTCTGTGTTTAGAGACCTTCCACAGAGCAGCACCAGAATCATTTTGGTTGTAAGGGACCTTAAATCCCACCCAGTGCCACCCCATCAGGGTTGGCAGGGACACCTTCCCCTGTCCCAGGTGCTCCAGCCCCAGTGTGCAGCCTGGCCTTGGGCACTGCCAGGGATCCAGGGGCAGCCCCAGCTGCTCTGGGCACCCTGTGCCAGGCCTGCCCACCCTGCCAGGAACAATTCCCAATATCCCATCTAAATCCACCCACTTTCAGCTTAAAGCCATTTCCCTTTTTTCCTCCCTTGTCCAAAGTCTCTCTTCCGCTTTCTTGGAGCCCCTGAGAGAGGCTTTAAGGTGTCCCCAAAACCTTTTCTCTGTCACCAGGATTTTTTGGCAGTTGATCCCTGTTTTGCATTTCCTGATCAGATCTGTATCAGCTCTCCATGATCCAGCAGGAACAGTGATTTGCTCACCACCTTTTGAACATAACATAAAAGTATGGCTGGGAGCTCCGGTGAGAGAAGCCAGGGAAAAGGAGATGGAGGAAATCACGGCAAAGGTCAGCTAGGAAATACAGACATAAAAGGCAAAAATTCTCAAAAAGAACAAACTGAAAATCCAGGTGACCAAATCTCAGTGACCAGTTTGGGTCTATCCACCTTGCCCTGCCTCAGGCAGCTCTCATTTCTCCAGTAATTTCCCCCCTTTATGGCTCTCACTCCAGAGTTCATCCATTCAGGAATGTGCTGCTGCTTCATGAACTGACTCCAATTTCAACCCCTGCCTCCTGGGAATGTTTCCTATTATTGATTATTATTCACTTCCACTGGGCCCAGAGGTGCTTAATTGGTTTGTGGATGTAGAGATTGCTTCACCAAACAGAGCAAAAATTAATGGTTGGATTCTGTAGTTTTCCAAAAGATCCTTTTTTCCCTCCAAACAACCTCACTGCCTCCAGGAGGTGGGAACATACATCAAACCCTGACTTCCAGTGGCAGTTGTAAATGAAGGAGGGACAGAGGGATTCGAGTTATAAATGGAACAGGAGTCAATGTGCCAAACAACTCATTTTTTTTAGCCCTTTCTTAGGTTCAGTCGCTTTTTATTCTGCCCTTCTCCCTCCTAATTAGTCAAGCGCCCTGATTTGATCATGTTTAAAAACATTTTTTGCCCCGTTTTCTCTCACTCAGTTCTGACATTGTTGGAAAGGAATTGCAGGAGCTCCAGGAGCAGAGGAAAGCTGGGTGCAGGATGTAACACCTATCCAACTGCCTCTGCAGAAACACTGCTCTGGAGGAATAATCCAAAGAGAAATATTTAAAAAGTGGAAATACTTTTACAGCCTATGCCATTTGGCATGTTATTTAGTTAGCTCCAGTACCCAAGGATTTGGATTTACACTGTGAGTGTTTATGCAAAATATTTCTGACAGGAAAACTTCTC